AACATGTCTGTAGATTTTATTTTACTTCTATTTTTTGTTTTGTTCTATGTTAATTTTATTATTTTTATTTGCTTTGGCAACACTGATTGTACCCATCGGTCATGCTAATAAAGCACCTTGAATTGAATTGAATTGAATTGAATTGAATTGAATTGAGAGAGAGAGCGCTGAAATAACCATGTATGTGGAGAGCTATTAAGTTGTCCGGTTATACAGGGTGGGTCAGTGAAAAACTGTAGCTTGTGGAGTAATCATCTACTGTACTGTGTAGACATTACTCAAATCAGATATTGAAAATGGTTAAACCACTGGTGGAATTGTTTTAAAATGTACTTTCCTGTGTTTTAGATTATGTGGGCCAGAATATAGGGCTTTTGGAAAATACTGTTTTACCGATAGTAAAATTACCCATATCACATTTTCTTTGCGACATAGTTTCTTATTTTCATTTTGAAAAAAATGGCTGCTTTTAGCTGACCCAATACTTCTAAACAGATGCTGCTCCTGTTAGAAAATACTCAATTAAAATGTTTTTAGAATATTTATACTTCTAGTTACTTTCAAATTTTACTCTGTACATGGGACAATTGTTATTGAAACACAGAATATGCAAAGAAACAGGTGTATTTAGGTGTATCCAGGTGGTTGTACACTAATTAAATGGTTAGCAGATGGCAGCCAGACATGTTCTTTCTTGAACTGAAGTCTCGTTTTGTCTCCCTTGCCTTTCAGTGGGAGCCACAGCCAGTGGTGGGGACTTCATGTCTGATCTCTTCAATAAGCTGGCAATGCGGAGAAAAGGTGAACCTTTTCAATCCATACCTGTGCATAGAATGTCTAAATACATTTCATTCTTCATCTCAATGTGGGAGTATATTTCATTTCATATTTTCATTCAAATTTTATACAATATTTTCAGTTAGTATTTCATCCTAATTTGCAATCACTATTTGTTGATCTCAGGTTACAAGTAAAACCCATGTGCACGTACTCTAGGGTCAGAGCGTTCATCAGAATTAGTACGAATAAGAGGAACAATGCGTTCCTCCCTGACGCTACTGCAAGTTCTTGGACATACAGCTATAAGCCAAGGATACCAGGTGTTTTTAATATCTACATCTACTGAATATCTACTGAACTGTAGCAGTTCAGTTCATTGCTACAGTGCTTTTATCTGAAAACTTATCTGAAAACTTTATTGGCCATATACAATTTCTTGTATTAGGAAGTTGTCTTTTTTCACATACCCCAACTTGCTCTCCATGAGACACACAGATAGGGAGAGAAGCTTGGGGTCAGAGCACAGGGTCAGCCTTTTATACGGCACCCCTGGAGCAGTTGGGGTTAAGGGCCTTGCTCAGGGGCCCAATGGAGTAGGATTCCTCTGCAACCTTCCAGCCACAGGCGCAGATATTTAGTCACAGAGCCACCCACCGCCAAATAATATAATTTATATATAAATATATAATTATATAATAATATATTATATAATAATATAATTTTTTATATTAAAAATATCCAAATATATACAGTCATGCTTTAAAGTTTGTAAAACCAAATGCATAATTTTAGATTTTTAACCACAAAATGCATATTTAATTAGAATTTGTCACTTCTTAATTGAAATAAAGTATAATCATTCATCAATTTGAGTTTTTTTAAAGAAAATGTCCATGCAGCAAAATAATACATACACTATACAGAAATTGTGCAATTGTGTAAAAATAAGTGAACACTTAGTTCTATGATTTACATCAAGGTAAAGCAGGATCAGGTGGGTCAATGACAGTGTTAACCAATTAACTGAGATAACCAATGAAACTGAAGATCTGAAATGATGTGTTAGGGAGGAGCAAACATAAATAATTGCAAGAAAGCAGGTGAGTTACTCTTCGTATGAGTCTAGCATCATGCCTCGAACTAAGGAAACATCAGCAGAACTGAGGAAAAAAGTAGTGGATGCTCATCAATCTGGACAAGGTTATAAAGCCATTTCAAAACGATTTGGACTCTATAAATCCACTGTTAGGCATGTAGTATACAAGTGGAGGGCATTTAAAACAATGGCAACCCTGCCAAGAAGTGGATGTCCTCCTAAAATTACACCCAGGGCCACAAGGAGAATAATAAAAGAGGTTAAAGGTAATCCTAAAATAACATCCAGAGATCTACATGCCTCTCTAGCAGCTTCTGGGGTAGTAATGCATAGATCAACAATAATAAGAACCCTGATCAGAAACTCCATCTATGGAAGGGTAGCCAGAAGAAGCCTCTTCTGTCAAAAAAGAACAAAGCTTCCTGTCTGAAGTTTGCCAGAGACAACCTGGACAAGCCTGAAGGCTCCTGGAAGTCTGTTCTCTGGACAGACGAGTCCAAAATTGAACTATTTGGGCACAACAAGAGGGCCCATGTTTGACAAAGAGCCTACCACCAACAAAACCTTATCCCTACTGTCAGGCATGGTGATGGGAGTGTCCTTGTATGGGGCTGTTTTTCTTACTCTGGCCCTGGGCAACTTGACATCATTAAGGGGATCATGAATTCTGAGAAATATCAAGGGATTCTTGAGAAGAATGTTAGGCCATCAGTTCTAAAACTCAAGCTGGGCACAAAGTGGATGTTTCAACAAGACAACTATCCTAAACATTCAAGTAAGTCTACTAAAGAATGGCTTAGGAAAAAGAGGTTCCATGTCCTGGAATGGCCAAGACAAAGGCCTGACCTGAATCCTAGTGGAAATGCTGTGGCAGGACCTGAAGAGGGCTTTTCATGAAAAACATGCTTCAAACTTCACAGAGCTGGTGGAGTTTTGTAAAGAGGAGTGGGAAAAAAACAGTCCAGCAAGATGTCAGAGACTGATAATCGGTTATAGGAGGTGACTGTGTGAAGTTATTGCTGCTAAAGGAGGTGCCACAAGTTATTGACTGACTTTTTTTTTTCACACAAGAATATCTGGTGATTTGTTAAACATCACCTTCTAATAATCTGAGTTCAAATCCCTTTTTATGTGTGGAACGTCTTTAGGATATTAATTATATATATATATTCATTAAGAGTTCAGGTTCGTATAATATCTCTATCATATCTAAAATAATAGCCACCTTGAAGGGTTCACAAACTTTCAAGCATGATTGTATTGCAGTATATACAGTATATTAATATATATTAACATATCAAAACATACAGTATGTTGCTCATACTGTTGCTCATGTTGGTCATTGTCTAAATGTTGCTCATTGTCTAAATAATAAATGTTATTATAAATAATAGTACATGTATATAAAATTAATATAATGTAACATAAATCATTTTATATGTTACAAATTTTTTAGTTACAAGGTAAAAAGAATGATAAAGTGGCCAAGAAAGAAATTTTAAAAAGGAATATTGCAGTGGAGGCAAAAATAATAAAAAAAGCTTTTACTACAACAGCAAAAGAATGTCTACGAACAAAGTAAAATGCATCTGGGACAATCATGAGAACTTCTAAACAATGAAATTGAAATGGCTGATGTACAAAATGAGTATTTCACTCAGCATTCACGAAGGAAGAACTTAACACATGCCTCAGGCAACAGAAGGACAAGTTGTATAGTATTAGCATGGGAAATGGAAAAATGTTTTGGGCACTAGAAGTACTGAAGATTAATAAATCCCCAGGGCCTGATGGTATCTTCCTAATTGTACTTAAAGAAACAAGTTGTTATTCATCAGCCATTGATGTTTTTTTGTTATTTGCCTTTTGTTATTCATTCATTGACGCAGCTTTTCCAACAGGCATTGGGGAAATGACAAGGGTAATATCCATAAACAGGAAAATTGCTAATATACTGCTCACCCAGAAGGTGATAAAACCAAACCAAGTAATTTTAGACATAAGTCTGACTTATTATAGTTATGGTTATGGACACAATTATTATTAGAACTAAATTAGAGGATCCACTGTATTGTATGGACATCGGATACTAGAGAATATTCAACTTGGATTTAGAAAAGGTAGGTAGCTGCCTGACTACCTTGTTAGAGCTCTTTGAACAAGCAACAAATATGAATACACACACATTGTGTGATATGGTATATTTAGATTTTCAGAAGTCTTTTTAAGGACAACATGAACAATTTATTCACAAATTACAGGAGGCAGGCATTCAAGGAAATAAATGTTTTTGTATTGAAACTTTGATCAATAGAAAACAGATAAGGAGTAATTGGGGTGATGCAATGTGAAGTATTCCTAATTTATATTAATGATTTCGATTCTGGTAAAGAAGCTAGGAAGCAGCAAATGAAATTCAAAAAGATTAGATACAATTCAAGTTGAGCAAACACCTGGCAGATGACATTCAATGTAGACAAGTGCAGTGTTTTGCGTGCAGGTAGTACATTATAAACTATCAATACAAAATGTTAAACACTGAAATAGAAGAGGCTGCTTATGAAAAATACATGTTTATGTTAACACATCATTTCCATCTTCTAGACAGGGTAAGGGAAGCAGTTATAAATGCAAACAAAATATTAGAATGTATTGTTAAAAGCGGAGAATTTGTCGTCATTATGTTGAAGTTGAATAATACACTTGTAAGGTCTCATTTAAGATATTGTGTACAATTTTGGTACCACATTACAGAAATGATTGCTGCTCTGGAATCAGTCCAGAAAAAAAGAAACAGATACATTCTGAGGTTTAGGGGAATCCTAGCAAGCAGCCACACAACTGACCACTGAAGTTAAACAGGTGTGAGCTTGGTCAGTACCTGGATGAGAGACCCCCTGGGAAAAACTAAGGTTGCTGGTGAAAGAGGTGTTAGTGGGACCAGGGGTGGTGCTCACCCTGCCGACTATGTGGGTCCTAATGCCCCAGTATGGTGATGGGGACACTATACTGTAAAAAGGCGCTGTTTTTCAGATGAGACATAAAACCGAGGTCCTGACTCTGTGTCAAATCCAAGGGCATTTCTTGAAAAGAGTAGGGGTGTCACCCTGGCGTCCTGCCCAAATATCCCATTGGTCTTTACCAATCATGGTCTCTTAATAATCCCCATCTGTGAATTGGCTTCATTACTCTGCTTTCCTCCCCACTGATAACTGGTGTGTGGTGTGTTCTGGTGTACTATGGCTGCTGTCACATTATCCAGGTGGATGCTGCACATTGGTGGTGGTGGATTGTCCAGAAAACTGTTATATAACTGTAAGCAATTATTATTATTACAGTGACAGTGGACTTCTTCAGAAAGAACAGGGAAACATGAACTAGAGGAAACAAGTAGAACCTACATGGAAGTGCATTTAAAATCAAAATAAGAAGACAGCTTTGCAACCAAAGGGGTTGGGAGTATGGAATAAGTTACCCACCAATATTATTGATGTGATTCTCGGATCAGTTACCTGCAAAATTGGGGTGATGGACCTAATAGCCTCCACTCAATTGTAACTCTCACTTCTATACATTTTAAAGTGAAACTAATGTTTCTTTTTTCAAAGTGCATTACCTTTTTTTTCAGAACTTCCATGTTAAGTATTTTTTTTTCAATCCCCCAGGGATTTCAGGAAAGGGTCCTGCCCCTGGAGAAGGAGGGGATGCACCGGCCAGCACCGGCAGTGCTTTTGCCAGAATGTCTGATGCTATTCCACCCCTCCCAGCCCCCCAGCAACCAGCCGCACAGGATGATGAGGACGACTGGGATGCATAAAAATGGAGATCTGAATTCCCAATGGAGAAGCCCGGAGAAGGAATGGAGTCCAGGATCTAGGTCAGGTGGAACAGCTGGTGGAAGAGATGCTATCTGATAGACTGGCAGGACTCCTGACTGAAAAAAACAACATAAAAAACAAATCTGCTTTTAACTTGCAGAGATTGAAACGTTTAGGAAAACTGAAAATGTTGAAAAATAACCTTAGTCTTTTAACACTCAGCTTTTCTTTGTCACTGGAAGGACAGGTTTCTGTAGAATTTAAGTGATTTGTATTGCACGTTAACTTTAAGACAAAAAAATCAGATCCCAAATTGTCCATCCTGCTCTGCAATCTAGTTGAATCCTAGACAATAATCAATATTCCTGTTTTCTGCCTGTCACGCAGGCCTAGAAAAGTAGTATTTTTTTGGTGTATTTTCCCTCACCTATTGCAAATTTAATTATGTCTTCTCATTTGACATTTAGCATGTAGACATTTTCTTCTTTCCAAGACCTCCATCTAACCTTTATTGAGTTACATTTTATGAGTATTGTAGAAACAATGTCCAGATTTACAGATAATTCTGTTCGGTCTTTAATCATCTGTTGAGCTTATACACTATCCACACAATTTGGTGTAATTACCATCTTTAATTGAAGAGACTACATTTACTTGTTTTCTAGTCCCAACATTACCTTTCAAAGGATGAAGGCATTGCAATTGTGAATAAGCATTTCAAAAACACTATAAAACAAATGAACAACAATAGTGTGATGCTTTTGAGCTGTGAAAAGTTAGATGGGAATTATAAGCCAATGTTGGCTTGGTAATTAAATTAGTTCAGTCTGAACAATTTATAATGGATCAACTTACTATCTACTATACAACTCATAAGTCATAAGGGACTGAAATCCCCCTTATATGTACAGTATAGAATAGGTCTCCACATTCCCTTTTTCCTCAAGAAGATACTCTCAAGAAAATCAAGATGCAGATGTTAAACCAAAGTTCTGTTTATTTTGCTCAGCATGAAATACTGTACATAGGTTTCAAGTTATTAAACAAAAAACTGGGAATGAAGATCTATACTATAAATCCAACATATCAAAGGATAATTGTCTAAGCCTAAGGGCTTGAAAATGTTAATTCACTAGTCGCAAAAAAGAATCATTGAGGCATAATATAAACCTGCAATAAATGTGTATGGTTAACCCCAATAAGAGGAGAATATAGTTTTAGAAAGTGGCTTTTTATATCATCAGCAAGAGCTCACTCCTGTAATGCATCTGTCATGAAATCTCTGATGTAAAATGTCAGTGTTGGAAAAATAAATGTAAAAATTGCAAAAACGTTTTCATATTTTGTACCAGTGCATTCTTATTAACATTGGAGCTCTCAAATAACAAAAATAGAAGTTTGATTAATGCCCTCAGATAAATATGTTGTGTGGTTTAAACATTATTTTTTATGGTTCATGTTTTTATCTCTAAGACTGTATGTGGCCTCTTTTCTGTGCAAAACTGATTACTTCAACAGAAACAACCTCCATTCAGATTTTAAGATCAATGTATTCAGAAGATGCAACAGAAGCAGAGGTGCTAGAACAAAATTGTATTATTACTGTACATGGATGATGTGTCACATTTCAGAATAACTTATGTCTCTGTGGCATTCTTCATTTTTCCCCTCTACTTGTTTCTTCAGAATGTGTAAAGAAAAAAATGATGATGTACTATATTTTAGATTTACCAAAGATCAGCAATTAAAGACCGCAAAATAACTGTGCATCAATAACATGAACACACTTTACAAAAGATAACAAAATAAACATTTAAATAATTAAGCTAATCCTTTCAACTAAATCCAATCAGTCAACACTTGAAGTGGACAGTTGGTGTGTTACTAGGTTTTCATTCACACTTGACTTGTAACCTTAATGAAGTCATTATTTTTTGCAAACTTCTTGCAGCTGCAAGATATTTCTAAAACAGTCCAGTTATAATTTGGTCTGGCTAAATTGGTCCAGTAAAAAACCTAGGAGAGACCTAGAAAATATGCAGGACCCGGACTGAATATATATACTGTATGTAACCTGAGAACCTTAGTTATTTTTCCACATACCATTGGAACATATAAGCATTATAAATATGAAAAATGAAAATGTTTTACAAACAAGATTTCTTTAAATTAATGTAACATTACATGTACATACTTTACATTCAATTGCTTCTTTTCTGTCATTACCTTTCATTAATTTTAAAGTATCAAAATACAGAAAAACAAACTACTTCAGGCAGGATCGAGTTTAGAGATGAGTAGGTAACTCAAAAGAAAAAGTGTCAGAGCATTAAAGTGCATGTAGACCTCTGTCCCTGACACCCATGACACAACCCTTCTGAGGCTGTAACCTGGAAAAGAGAAGTCTCCCTCAAAATCTTAAGCATTTCACTTTAACACTGAAAAGTGGTAGTAATTTCCATCAGCTCTTAATGAATCCTCTGTTCTCCTGAGCCTGAGATCACTCTTGACCTGTTCCCGGCTCTGAGGGCTTCAGGCTTGATGACCGTTAAATTGTTTTTGTCCTGTTGGTAGCCTGGTGTTCAGAAGTGCTGGCTCTTGCACATGTTGGATTGGGAGGGCTACAGTCCATGCTGCTGCTTCTTTTGCATGAAGAACTGCAGGTCAGGAAAGACACTATTAAAATTCTACAGACGTGGCTGAGTGCTGCACAAAAATAAAAAAAATCACTGCAGCAGAACGATTCTGCTGTGCAAAGGACATATATTCACTAATAGAATTCCAACTGATTTCAGCCGGATTAATGGCCAGCTCAGAATTCTTAGTGGGTTGGGCCCCTTGCAACCTTAGTAAGCTTTAATAATAATGAGCATGTTTAGTGAAGCGAATCTCTTTCCTCATAACCTTAACCTGTAAAAAACAAAACTTCTGCTACATAGAGAAAAGCCAGTAAAAAATAGACTCCACTTCATGGAACATTAAGTCAAACTACTATTTAATGTCTTGAAGAACCATAGTTTGGAAACAAATATAAAAACAGGTCTGGAACATTGCAAGATTCTGAAGTGAGAACTCAAAATGTAATAATGGAGGTTTACAGCTGACAGGTTAAAACACTTTGAAAGCTGTGAAGCGTTACAGTATGCATTTTTATTTTATTCTTCTCATATAATTTAAAATGCTGTTATCAAGAAGTTTTTTCAAACTTTTTTTCCAAAACTCATCTCTGCATGATTTATTAATGTGCAAAAATGAAATGTGCATCTCTACTGAGTACACTCCAGTCTTGCAACTGTATTCATAGCTTTCACACAACTTTTCCAAGTCATTAAGCTCTTTATTTTAGAAGACGCTTCTAGGCCTGCAAATTATATGTAGATTTCCAGGAATAAGAATGCATGGGAGCCCTAATAACAGAAGTGGACTACAGGGAATGTCTGTGGCTCTAGCTATTTAATACTACTTAAAGATAGCCACTGCTTCTGTTCTGCTGGAGTGCATCATATGGGCAGTAAAGGACTTGAATTGTCAAAATAATGACTTAGTCACGCTGTAGCTGGAAACTGGGAGTCAGTGATGCGATGTGAAGGTTCTGTAAGCAAGTCTGAATTGCTCTTGAGTGGAGTGGCTTTCCATGTGCACATTTTATGAAATACTTGAAACTGTTTCAGAATGTGAAAGTGCACCAGAACATAGAATTTTAAATCACTTCTGACAGTTGATATGCAAGTAAAAATACTTCACATTTGTTGTAGAAGTGATTTCAAGTTCTTAAATATTTACAGTGAAGTACACTGCTGTGTAAAAGTCTATGCTGAGAGGTATTGAAAACACAGTATGAGTATTCGAACCAATAACATTTAGATGTATTTTGAAAGTGTCTCATAACAGGGAGGACTTCCAGTTTTCTTGAATCATTTTTAAACCTGTATTTCAGTGCTCCAGCACTAAGAGGTACAGTAATTACACTTTCAAAAGCCACTTTCTACATAATCCTCTCAATTAGCCATGTAATGACTAAAATTTACGTGTGCAAACATGGTTAGATATGGTTATGGTTACTTCACAATCACAAAGTCCATTTCATTCAGTAGTATCACACACATTAATAAAATTAAACAGGTCACTAGGAACATGTAAATATGTGTCAACAAAACTGTTTTGTCAGTGGCAAGCTAACAGCCCGGGATCACCAGTGAACAGAGAGCTCAAAAAGTATGAGAACTTGATCAGGAGGGGCAGCAGCTGAGTGAGATTCCCTATTCAGAAAATACTATAGTGATAGAGTTTCAGAAGCTGGGCACAAGTTACACAGAAAAGTCTGCTTTGCTCAGGCAGGTCATTACATTAGGTGAAGCAAGATAGCAGCTAAATAAGGCCCATCTCTGGATTCAAGTGTGGGGTGGTTGTCCTTAATGTGGGTAGAGTAATAGTGCAAAAGCAACAGCAGAAACCAACTTATATTTGTTATAATGTAAGTGCCAAGTCATAACAACTTATATTTGTTATGACTTGGCAGTAAGAGCGAAACAGCTGCATCTGTTGGACAGGCCGAGGAATCCAAAAGCTTGATCCCAGTGAAAGCAAGAGGAGAAATGAGAGGTGGGGAAGATGCTGTGTGGGCTGGCGGAGATAGCCAAGCAGGATATGCACTGCGAAGGCAGACTGAGTTGGCAGAGCGGGGTTCATGTGCAGCTGGGCTGATCAGACACTGAAGGCTCAGCACAACTAAACAGGGCAGAGCTGGACAGGGAAACTGCTCGGATGGATAGTCGGGGGTTCAGCACACTGCCGCTGGTCCGTGCAGGACAAGGCTGCGCTGAAGTGGCATAAGGAGACAGGGGGCAAAATGGCTGACAGCATGGTATGGAATCAGGACAGACGGACGGGCTGAATCAGGCAGGTAATCCTTCTTTTAGGCTGGCTGTTTGAAGAAAGAAGCTCTATGACTGAGCACTGGACTGCAGGCAGATCAAGGTGTAAATAACAGGTAATCATCTCATTAGTCCAGGATAAGTAAGAGTGGGTGGCTGGGACAACCGGCCCATACGAGTCCTCATACCAATTTTAAGAATGCCTTATAGAGAAAAAATCAGTTCTAAGGGAATAAAACTGGAGTAAGGAGCAGACATCAAGAAAGTGGGCTGCCCGCATATTGCAACAAAGGTTGGCAAGCAGAAATCCTCAGAGAGCGAGGGAGAAACCCCTTGAGATCATGTATATTGAGGGATAAAAAAGGAGCTCTCTTTCCCCCAGAATCCGTTGTGAGATCAAGCAATCATCCTGGAGGGTGTTGCATGTGAAGATGGGTTACTTTCAACAAATGTAAAGATATCAGTGTTGATTTGCAACTTAAAGAAGGGCTTCAGTGATGAGGGCTCTCCAAGGAGAAGGGTAAATCCTGTTTAGTGTGAAGAAGGCCATTCTCTCTTTAAAGAAAACCTCAAAAGGTGAGGAGTTCATTGGACGTTAAGAATAAACCCTTCTGGCAAGAATGCAGACCTGAAACAAAAGCCTGTTATGGTGGCAGCAGCAGCTAGAATAGGCAAACCTAAATTACCCCCTGGTGTTATGGAGCCTCACTGATCCACTTATATAAGTCTAACTTCAAGCCATTTAGAGATGGAACTGCTGAACTCACATGCTTAATGCCTTGATGGAAGGCATGATACACTGCCAAGCAAAGTGACAGTGGGAACCCTGCTGATTTCATTACTACTGTTTCTGCACAAAGAAGGAAAAACATTGAGGGAAAAGAGAAGAAAGATCCACAGCAATGTTCACCATGTGCAAAATTAGAGAAACTATAAAAAGTGGGGTGATACAAGGTCTTATTATGATGCCGAAGATCACAATGAGGTCATGAAAATGTATCCCTGATTAAACTGTGGTACCCCTGTATTTTGTTTCCCACTTCCACCCAGCTTATACCACTCACCTTCCTGATGCTGGCGAAGGCAGGTCCAAAGGTGGGCTGCACCTGGGTGCTGGTCCTGATCCAGTTGGGCAGTTTGGCCATGATGGCCGGCCTGGAGTAGCGCTGGTCCAGAAGCACAATGCTGGCGTAGTCACCACGGTGACGGATAGCCCTTCCTGAGAGGAAGGCAGAGAGAGCATAGATTGGGACAGGGCAGTCAACTTGATCTAGGTCTTAAAAAACATCTTTAACAAGGCTGAGTTTGCCCACACATTTTCAATATTAATGTAAATTTAAAAAAAAAAACACTCTAAGTGAGAATTTCATACAGAAACGAAAATGCATGAAGGCTGTTGCTGGTTCACACATTGATTGGTGTATTGTTTTTTGTTACATTAAAGCCTATAAAACATGCTGTGAATTATATTATAGGATATACTAATTAAAATATTAATTACCTTTGAGTATTGCAAAACATTACAAAGCAGAACTGTCTAAACTTACAATTCTGCTAATCTAATATATAGATTATTAGCTATTATATTAAGGTTCTGCTTTCTAACATTCTGTAGTAGTCAGAGCAATACTGATAGATATCTCTTTTAATAAATACCCATTAAACGTGCCGGAGTGCAGCCCTCAAAAACAGGATTTGTGTGTGTATGCTAGACAGTTTTAACTGCTTGCCTTTACTTTCAGAAAACGTAGAGGAGCCAGGCTAATTCACATAGAGGAGCTGTTACTTCTGATGACTTGCTGTATTACTGAACTAAGGACTTCCTGGTCCAAGGGATCTCAGATTGGTCATATTAGATGACATCTCAAAAACATACATTGTGGAAATGTACATTGGGGCCCTTAGAAATGTGAAATTAATGAAACAAAATCAGCACTGTCATCCAGTGGATAGACATAATACTGTGCCTGCCAAACAAGTAATCTTTCATCCTTACCTTCCAAACTCCCTTTTAAAAACAAATAACAAAACTGTTCATCAACACCTCTTTGCTCATACCTATAGACTGATTCACAGCTTTCATGCAGAGATTCTCAATCAGTGCCTTTCCAGGAGTCCTGCCTTTCACCTGCGGCTGCAATGAAGCACAACAGAAGGATATTTATAAACAGCTGTGTAACAACCTCTTTAATTTTGCATCAGAGAGGCCTCCTAATGAATTTATAAACCACTTCTGGTTGTCTTCAAAACAACAAGAAATGAGTAACATCAGCTTTGGGATTATAGTTTCTGCAAAAACATATTTACTATGTGTTACTCTTTAAAAGTTCAAAAACACCCCGTACAGAGAGGCTGTGAGAGAGAACATCCCTGTTCATTGTTCTCAACTGTAATTCATAGTTCACTTTCAATACAGAACACATTCATCATGATTTGGAAGTTATTTGTCATGGTTATATTAAGCACTGATATGCAGTAATACCATTTGGACCCAGCCACGGTATCCGTGTCTGCCCTGTCTTCTGAAGTCAGTAGCAGTGGTTGCTCTGTTTTCAACATGACAGTCGGTACTTATCGTACCTTTACAGCATATCACCGTAGCCCTACCGAGAGCTGGATTGCTCCTTCTTTCCCTGGTTGACTTGATTTGTTTACTCATTATTTTCTCATTTTCACAAGTTACTTTTTTCTCCAAGCATACCTCAGGAATAAGACCACTTTGGACTTTGGTTTGGACACCAAAAAAATAACATCCTGCATATCCATACACCCTTGAGAGCCTCAGCCAAAGTTGTGTTAAACATTAAAACATTTTCCCTCAGCACTGAGGATGCAGAACCTTTTACAACCTCAACAGCACTTGCCTCAACTGCAGGACTTAAACCTAGACTGCCTTGACCAGAGTGTGACCTTCCCCCGGCGTTGACTGTGAGCCACAGATTCATACCATTTCATTTTAATGTTTTAGTGTGATGGGTGACAGTTCTCCATTTCCTCCTTTTTATTGGGAAGACTGTATACTATGAAAGATATACGGGTAGCCTGATATTTTATCTTATGCATATAATATTATGCATATAATATATTAATATCAATGAATGATTGCTTTTTTCGATTATGCAGAAAGTTTTAAAGTGTAATCCTTAAAACTTAAATACAATTCTAATCGGTGTCATTTGGCAGGCAACACAAAACACCTTTCCAGTTTTACAGCTTTCCTTATACAAGGAGAAGACATCTCATGACCATCACCCTTATTAAGACAACCTCCCCATCAATTTCTGTAAAAAGACAGTTGTCAGTGTAATCATATGTTATATGCAGGTACCCTACGATTCAGGCAACACACACATCCTCCCCAGCTGGCCAGATTGCCTAGTAATGGAGGACTCGTGGAGATGGCATCACATATGACTGGCTCATCAACATCTAGTGCAACAAACAAAAGGAGAAATGTACCTTTTCAGTGACCTGGGTCTGAGGTCTGATTGAATTTTGAAAGGAAATACATCCTCATAGTCTTAAATTAGACAATGCAATATATTGCAGTCTTGAATCATAGCCACTGGCAACATAATAGGATCATCTGTGTTGAGCTTTATTAAATCTCTGTTAAATATGTATCAGGGTTTTATCTTACAGGTTTCTCGCAGTTGTATCAAGGCCAGGCAGGCCGCTTAGCCAAAAATCAGCCTGGTCAAACAAATGCTATACAAAATACTCAAATACTCTTTCGTAGTAATAAACCACAAGATCATGTGCAAGCCAGCAGGTGCAATGGTACGTAATTGCACAAGTCTCAAGCCTCATGCATTGAGACCAGATCTTATTTTATGTATTTACACCAATCTACAGTAGGTTGATTTAAAAAATAAAATATTAGACGGAAAATTTTGAAATTGTTGTAGAGACTCATGATTCTGTTAATTAACCTATGTGTTATACTGTATATAAAATATATCATCAATACAAATGGTATGTAATATGTAAAGTATGAAATTTTCAACAAAAATATCTTATGCTTTAGGGTTTTGATGTAGAAAACAAAACAATTTCCTTCCAGCTGAATCATCAGCTCACAGGCAAACACTGTGTCTCTGCATTGCTTGCTACTTAATTTTCAAAGTGAAAAAAGACTTACTGCCTCAATGAGAGCAAAATAAAACGCAACTCAATAGCTGAAAGAACACAATGACGGTTTGATACATACAAAAAAAAAGCAAAAATGGCAACATGGTTCAAGGACAGAGCTCTTCTTTGGGCAGTATAATGGGTAGCCAACATCTTTGATTAATTCTATATAATTAAACTAGACATGGTCAAATAATGTTTTGTTCATGATGATATTGTTTAGTTACAGTACTCAAATAGCTAGATTGAAAGTTAGTACAGTAATATAGCTGTTCAATAGCTGGTGGTAGGAATGTATATATGGGTCAGGTGGGTAGGTGTGTCAGCATGCGTAGGCTGCAAAGGAACAAGTAATAGGTTTATTCCATGCTGAAAAGAGAAGAGAGAAAACGTAACATTTCGGTTGTGGTGTGGAGCTTGCACCTGAAGAAGGCTCCACAATGTATATGTGCAATTTATGCAACATTAAAACTTTTGCAGTGTCCTGAAAGCTCGTGCAGACCAATTAACAAAATTAATGAAAATATTATGCCAAAATAAATGAAAAAAGCAGATTGTAATTTAAAGCTTACCAAAATATTCACAAGAATAATAAATATACAATTTATGTTTTTCAGTTGTGTCATTTATTATTTGTCTTATTACTGTACGTGTTTTTAATTAAAATTTTAACATGAATAGTTCACTGTTTTGGTTGTCTGGCTGGCAAGCCACCTTGTACCCTATCCTTTCAGTATAGTCTCTGGGGTGCACAACCCAGGAACAAGCAGCTTTCTAATAATGGATAAATGGATGGATAGATCGCTCACAACTTTGAAACTATAAGATAAGTAATGTAATGAACACCAAATTATTTTTCTTTTTTACAAGTATCTTGGTACTGGTAACCATGAAAGAAACTGCTTAATCACCAGCAAAATGTACTTTGCTAAAAGCAAAACAAAGTAATTATGCAAACATCAAGAACGGTTAATGCGTAGAAGACTGTGAGCATTCAGCATTCAGTTTATAATTCAAAACTGGGTCTCAGTTTTTGCTAGCGCAGTATAAGTATTAATATACAGTATAACACAGCAAACGTGTGGTGTTTAATTCTGTAATGTAAACACTGTTGAAACTGCATTAAAATACAGAAAGGCTGAAGGGCTTCTGAGGAGCTCAAATAGGAAGGATACTGACTTGTTTCACAAGTTATAACTGTAGCCCAGGCGTAACTGGTTCAAGCCTGGACCTCACTATATCAATGACTGATCAGGTTCTCCCATAATTGGCGCACAATTGGTCAAGAGTCACTGGGGTCAGGGGGCCTTGAGTTGGTTATATTTCCATAGTTTACAGCTCAACAGCCACTTGGGGACGCTCCCAGGTGCCTGTGAGCTTGCAGTGACAATAGCAAGAAACAAACAACTTTTGTGACACTAGTTCTCCTGTAAGGTATCGTAGAGCTCACAGTTGTCAATGAATGGCTCACACAGGTGGGTGTATTGGAGGCATGTGAACCAGTGCCCTCATTCTCCACACAGGAGTTATAGTGTTAAGCTATTGTAACAGATTTTAGAGGCATTATAAGAGAAATGACATCACTCCCCTAGAAACAGAGTGTAGAATTCCCCTGTGTTAGAAGACCCTGTCTTTAGAGTAGCAATCTCATTGCTATCCAGGGCAGTGGCACTGTATACACTCTGAGCCCAAAAGCAGCCATGATTGAATCCTACAGCTCTTACATTGGTGCCATGACTCTATCTGTTTCATTAAGATATTTAACAAGTGGAAATACTAAATTACGCGGGTATAAAATAAAAAACAACACAATTACAAATGTATATATTACATCTAGGAACAGTCAGGCAAAAAACTAAGTTTACAAAGCTGAAAAAAGATCAACTGCAACTTATCTTCTGTCAAACAGAATTTTAATTTTCATCTTTTGCTGGTAGATCAAGTCGATAATGGAGGGTGAGTATTCTAAAAGCGTTAGTAACCTTTTTGTTTAGAAACCATCTCACCATGTTTTTGTCCAAATAGTCCATCTTTTCCTGAAGTTCTGGAGACTTGATATTGGGGTATGGCATTCCTACCATTACAACACACCTGATCAGAGAAACAGGAACAAGACTGAAAGCTCATTTTCAAACATAAAGGCATTAGCACATACAAGCAACCTAATACAAAATGTGCAGAGAATACTACATCTACCCCTAAAAACACCTGTATGCCATTAAAGCCCATTTTCAAATGGCATACTCAGTCCTGTCACTTGTAACCTGCTGTCCTAAAAGAAGACTGTTAAAAGTTAACTCTCAGTAATGATTTGAATTCATTCAAAACAGCTCTAGTGTATCTCCTGGCATAGCCTTTACTGCAAATGAAAATAATGCTAAACGTGCTGGCTATGTCCAATTTGATTTAATAATCAAAGCTGAAAAATTAAGATCTGCCTAGTTTTAGAACAGCAGGTCACATTTTCTAATGGTATACAAGTTTTTAGAATAAAATAAATTTTTAAAACTACCCTTCAGAAACAGAATGTTACAATTCCTATTCCTCACAGGATGAGGTGTTCAAATAAAAAATAATCATCAATTTCACGTTCAGGATCCATAAATAAAAAAGATGAACTTTTAAAAAAAAATTAAAATGCAGGAACATTTAGTTTTGTGCTGCTTCATTTAAGGCTCAGTCATCTCAAATGTGAAAAGATAAGAACACAGAACTAGCAGTTCAGTGTCTCCAGGGTGATTCTGGCTGCACTTGGATGTTCGAAGCACGAGTCTCATTCTGACTTCAGTGCTAATTCAGCATTACGTTTTCTCTGCTGATCTGGAAAATTGTCTTTCCTCTCGTAAACCCTGACTGCGCACAATTTCCGATTTCCTAATCCAGATGGAGCAACCTCAGACAAGAGCTTCTTCAGCACTCTAGAAAGGTCTCTGTTTCTTTCGTAATAAGACAAGATGTTTTTTTTAAAATAAACACAGATCAAGCATGCTCTGGGAGAGTAAGAATTTAAAAGTCCTTTTCTTTTTCATCTTTCAAAAAGCATACATCACAGATATCGCAAATCCCTCTAAGGCAATACTTGAAGGATAAACCTCTCTTCTTTATAAACTGCTGTGCAGCAAACAGGAAGATTTACTGTGCAGCAAACACAAGGATTTATTTTCCCCAGATACAAAGTAAAATGCCTCAGCTGAGGTCAAACCAGATTAGATTGAATATAAACCTTCTAAAGAAAAATATCTAGCTGTTAAACAATGTTTAATATGTATACTGTATAAATGCACATATCGACAAAAATGCCGTTCCTACTTCAAAATTCTTCTTCAATTAATAGGTACAATATTATTATTTGGAAAAAACAGGTGCTGTATATCCAAACCTGGCCATTCTGAAAATACATCCATATTTTTTAAAGAAAAACAGCTTCAAATCAGAAGTGAGCACTAACCTGCCGAGATCATCTGAAAAGTTAATCCCCTCGCTCATCTTCCCCCCCACGACAGACAGAAGCAGGGCTCCCGACAGGGGTCCTTCAGCTTGGCTGCAGCGCTGGAAGAGGAAGCAAGCTATAGGTCACAAGCAGAAGTATGCCACCTATATTGTGCAAAGAAAAATACAAAGTGGTGTGAAACCTACTGTCTTTCATCAAATAGTATAAAATAACAGGCATTCATTTCAAGTCAGAACCAGATCCAGACATTAGAATGTATTCACAGAAATGACAAAACAAACCTTTCATACAATTACACCTTCTCACAGTTCACATTGTGAAGAAACTGTAATGATACTGAAAAGACAGTGATATTCAGACAGCACTTCTGTGAGGCCTGAGAATCCCAGAGATCGAGGCACATTTTAAAAACGCTCTGCGAACAGGTGGCAAAGAAAAATGAAAACTGCAACAACGGACAGAAGTAGACTACGGCACATGGGAAAAGTTGTAGCCTGCAGCTACAGGAGAGAAAATAATTGAATATTTTGGGGGGAATTAAAATAATACAACTACGTTAAATGAAAAAACAATGAATAATTTATATTCAGTGATACAGCTCTTTTCATAATATATTATTATTTATTATCCATTATGTAGGATAATATATTATATTTCTGTAGTTACTGCACATTTTAGTACATACAGTTGTATAGTTTGTTTTCAAATATTTTCTATATTCAAAATCCTTTACTTCCAAATATGCAGAAGGACAGAAAATATGATTCATTCCCAAGTATTGATAGTATAAAATTAATTTTTACTTTGGTTAACTGAACAAAAATTCATTTTGGATTTTCAATTTAGCCAACCATAGGATAAGGAACATTTAGGGAGGAAAATATCACAACAACAGAACAAGTGCAAGAGCAGACAAGAACTGTTCAGATAGGACAGGCTGGGAACAAAAATGAAAGTAGTCACAGGACAGGAATAAAAAAGGAATAGTTTTATTTCAATTTCACTCTCTTATACAAGTACTGCCGGATTAAAGCACACAGAGAAAAATGTGTGCAAGCAAGCATAATACCAGGAACACAGTAAAGAAAACACAAGGATGAAGCATTCACTGGCCTTATGGTATATGAACATGCAGTGTTATAGATACATTCCAATACATTTGCAGGGTTTTTTCTTTAATCTACAACAATAAAGGAAACACATATTACTGACAAAGTCTTGGAATTGGAAGCCATATGCCACTACTTGTACGAGGGTGTTCAGATTATAATTTTAATATTTGTTAAATAAGAATTCTAATTCATTTAGAACTTGCTTTTCTCATGTTTGATAATGGATGCTTGTTTAGTATTGTGAGGACACTACAAAAAACAACACTGTAATATGTCAAACTCAGTATATTCAATTATTAATTGAAATATTTCTAAATACATGAAATACTAATTTATAATGCAACACAATAAAAAATGAAATCACTTAGTAATGTTTTCCATACATGCTAAGAAAAAGGAAAAAATATGTAAAATGATGAAAAAAAGATTAAGTAAATATTTTACCAATAATACCAGTCCTAGTTAGGTACTAAGCAGGTCAGGAAAAAGGTTTTTAATGTCACATTGTGAAACAGGTCACTGCTTTCAGAGAGCTTAGCTTGATGTACAGTACACTTACTACGATATACAGTATGCTCAGTATAGTATAGTATATGCATATAGCTCAGTTAAACAAAGTTACAGTGCCTATGAATACTGTCTTTAAAACACACCTGGATGCACCTGGAGTATTCAGACAGCACTTGCTCCACCTGACTGGCTTTCTTAGGTTCCTGGAAAATCTGAAAAAGAAAGAAAACACTCCTAACAATCTCATCCGATACCAGTTACCGATATCACCACAAGCTCCTAAATCTACAAAAATTCTCCCAAGTAAAATGGGCCAACAGAGGACAGAAGACTGCTGCTGTGTTTCTTCTGATGTTGAGTTAGTCTTTTTGATAAACGCAATTTATCAAACTCTGTAATTGGCTTTTTATCTTTTATTTAAGTTAAACTGAACAGTTTTAAAAGGTAGTAGAAAGATAAGAACATATGTTCAATCTTATTTCGCTCAGGTTTACTGAAAGAGCAGTTTGCCGAGAAGTAAGGCAGAATCATCTCTCTAGGCCATTTTCAACCATGACTTTTCTTTACAAGTCTGTGTCAGTTTCGCTTTCACATCTTTCCCAAAACAAGAGAGAAGCTTATCTATTGCAGAGACACTGTGCAACGCTCTTTTCTTCATCTGATGGAAACAATGATTTACCTCTGGCAAATGATGAAAGAAACTGATAATCACATCATGCAAATTCATTTCATTAACTTCTTTTGCTGAAAAAAGTTTATTTACCATTTAACTGAATTTGAGAAGAAAAAAAATGTACAATTTTACACATTACACATCAAATGAATGCTTTAGAGGTGGCACAGTGGTGCCATCTGTGTGGAGTTTGCATGTTCTTCTCGTGTTCATGTTGGATTTCCTCTTGATGCCCCCATTTGCTCCCACAATGCAAAGACATACTGGCAGGTTAAATGGCTTTTGTATGTGCATGGTCCTGGACTGAGTACGTGCATGTTTGTGTCTGTGTGTGCCCTGTGATGGTCCAGCACCTAGTGCTTCTTGGGCTCCAAGCCACCTGTGACCATGAACTAGATAACCAGTTACTGAAAGCAATGGTGATGGTGACGAATGTGCTGGTGTTCTTACCCTCTTCTTGGCTGACAGACGTTCAAGAAGGCCGGTCTTCTCCCAGTGGGAGTATACACACCTCTCGTACTCATAGGAAGGGAAGAAGCAGATCACACCCCCAGGCACCACATTGCACAAGTTGGAGAGGACTCGCCCAGTCTCATCCATCTGCGGGACAGGGAATCGTATGAGAGAAAAACAGTTTTATCACTTTTACAAGGCAATCACAATGGGTAAGTTATTTCTCTACAATTCAGAACCTCTCAATTAGTTTACTTTTTCTATAAAACATTTTTACAAGTGCACATTAGAAATATCCTCCTAAAATAGAGATTGGCAGTAGAACCCTTTTGAAAAAAGAATGTAATGGATTCTACAGAAGTCAACTCTATGCACTCATATAATTCCTACAGTGTATCAAGAAAATGTGTGTGGAAGAAAATATTAACAAGATTCACAGCTCTGACAGGCTTCAGTAATGTGTGTTTTGCAAGGTATTGTCTTTTATTCGTTTTTGTCTGCGAGACTACATTTTTTAAATAGAAAGATTAGAAAGATACCATTTAAAAGACTTCACTCATATGCTATCAAAGGGCATTAACGGGTAAATCGATTCATGAGTTAAAATGCTGAAGAGAACTTCAATTTCATCTTTAAAATAACTTTTTCACTGTAGCATTTACATGACTAAGGACAAAAGGAAAAAAATACTCTGTAAAATAACTGGCTTTACTGCATTTAACCTCACACATACAGTAGACTCCTAAATTGGCAAAGTATCTAGGAATAATCCAAGCCTGAATATATCATTAAGAAACCCACCATGTGTGACTTTTCTCGGTTCTGAAAGGTAAACTCCAGCTCCTGTCCTGAAGGTCCTTTGCACAGAATTAAAGGTAAGATATTCTGGGGAGGAATCACATGACCTGCAATTTAGAGAATGACAAAAGCTATCACCAATTTGGAGGAGAAATGATATATTTTAAAACACTAGTGCTTTAAAAAGCTCTTTTTGTATATTTTACACAAAATCAGCTCACATTGATACAACCTTGTCATGTTCCAGTAATTTTGCCTGTCATTTTTCAAAGGAAGACAAGATCTTGAACTTGCAGTATAAGCTATTAGTCTCAGGTACTACCTCTCAAGATGTCAGATGGTATTTCTACATCATTAGTGTGTACTCAATGGCACTTCCTGTCTGCCTGAAATGCCTGTTTAAAGTAGGGTGACAATATTTCTTCATAAGTTAAAAACTGGATTTTACATTTTACAGGGACGTCTTGAAGTTTTTTTTTGTCCATTCAGATGCAGAAACCTCAGTATTTCCACTTCTAAAAAACATGACAAATCCCCACTTTGTTCAGAAAAGTAGGTTTTTAAAAAAGTTATACACAGAAGAGACTGCTAATGTGAGACTGTTCCAGAAAAATGGGACCTGTAGCCACCCAAACTTAAAGGAACCTCAACTGTACATCCTTTTGTGCAACAGATTAGTGATGCCAGACTGCAGCAAGTTTAAAATATGGTTACTTAAAAAGGTGTAATATTACAAGAGGAAGCTATTTTATAGAACCCCACTGCCTACTCTAGAAGCAGCACAATTTGAAAATCTGAAGTCGAGCACTGGGAGCAGGGGCACACTACCAGTGCTGGTAAGCGTCACAGCACGGCATACAGTATTTTTTAAAGATACTGTATCAAGAGCACCAGTTTATGATCCCCCGAGCACTGAACAAATTACTAACATGGTGTATGAAACCGTACACTAAGTTATTATAAGCACATTTCTGCTTGCTTTTTCATATGCTAGTTATCTTCTACACCATTTTATACAGTAAAATCAACAAATACTTGCAGGAGAATTGCTCTCAACATCAGCTCCCTCTCTAAACTCACCACAAGAGAATTCCATAATGCGTTCTGGTCTCACGCCAGCGGAGAGCAACAGCTGCTCCTTAAAGTCTGACACCTACAAAAGTCAAACAAATTAAATTATTTTACTAGGGCTTTGCTCCTTAATTTAGCTTCAACCGTAACAGGCTGAAAGAAAAATACCATTAGAGACTCAGGTATAAAATCTCATCTTAAATCAGCCCTGTTTTATATCTGTAATCTACTGATTCCTTATGTCCTTATTACATTTAAACCGACAACTTTCACCGCCCTGTTTATTTTCAAGCAGTCTTCCCACAAACATCACAACCTTGTTTCATTTTCTAGTCCAAAACAGTCTGGATGCAATAAAGGCATGTCTGAATTAGTCTTTTTAATTTTGTTTTAGACCATTCAGATATAACCACTTTCCTTAACAAGTGCTTCTGAACTGAAAAATACTGAGGACCTTGTATTATTCATTTTTTCCAAGCTTGTGGTTTTCTTCTTGTCAAGAAAGCTTCAAAAACTTAAATTTGTTTAAACTTTAAATTGACTTAAAATGTGTTCTAGTAAGCACTTTCTTTTTTAGCTTTTTACCAATTTACTAACAGCCCAATAACTATTTCTTGCTCCGAGAAGAAGGCCAGTAAACACTAAAGCTTACTGGCTGCATGGTGCCTCCCGCAACGATGACAGCTCTGCAGTCTCTCAGTACCGCAGCGAAGTGGATGGCAGGGTTCAGCAGGAGGAACTTCACACTGCTCTGTGCCAGCACACCTTCAACAACACGGAACCTCTCAATGCTCAATGGCCACAGGCCACTAAAAGAGCTCAAAGAAGTTCTAAATTACAGATGAAGCTGCACAAACATACTGTATGCAGGGGAATGTTTTCAGCGTTCCAGTTAACTCTACAAAAAAAGGGGGGGGGCAGCAGATAATGCAGTGGTTCTGAGGCTTTGTAATCATTAACTTTAAACATTACCTGGCTCCCACAATTTTAGCACAAATTTTGTTTCCTCAATTCAGGATAATCAAGCCAATAAAGACTTCACCTTCGATTGAAGGTTGCCATAAGTATCAAGTGATAAATCAAATTCAATAACTCTTCCTGGTAAAAGTTGCAGGATTCCACAAAAGAAAGAGGATTTCCCTGGAGAAAGAACCCAACTTCTGCATTAGCTTATATGCACCCACAACAAAGTCATATAAAGTCAAGTCGAACTATTGGCCAGTAAGTGACAAAAAGACAAGTTGGAACACTTACTCATTAAATGTATTAGAATTAAAATGACTTTCCTATAACAAACTAAGCCCACCCTCAACAAAACCTTTAGAGGTGTTCTGATTTTAAGGTATTCAGTCATAATTCCACAGATGGCAGCTTTGCTCCATTGGCTCCTCAGTCAAGAACAGACACCAAATGTCTGAACCTGTGGTTCCTCTTGTACCGAGAATGATTACTATTGTAGCTCAACTATGGTTAAACAACAAAGCAAGGATTTTAAATTTGAATAGAACTATACATTTAAAAGCAAAACAGGTAAAGATGCTGGTTATGTTAGATTTGAAAACATTGAAATTACAAAAATAAAGCAAAAACACATTGCAAATAAAAATGACAAGAGAAGTTGACCCTCAAAAGCATTATACTATATTCTAATATTATTTATTAAGATAGAAAATACTACTCTCTCCAATTTCCCATCAGATGTCTTTATATATAAAAATGCAGATATTGTTATGCTGCAATGTACACAGCAGGAATGAGTCACAGAAAATTAGAAAAAGGATGTGGACTATGACCCAGTTTCCTTATATATTAAGTGTTTTTTAAGAAACAAGAACATAAACAGAACTTCCCACAGGGTGTCAGTGAAATTGTTGAAAGGAACGTGGACTCTCGATAAGTTTCACATTCACAAAGAGAAATTAGTAAACAAAAGGTTCTGTTACTAGACAAATATGTAAATATTAAATTAGTAAATATATGTAAATTTAAAATGTGTGCATTTCACAGTAATCACAGCAACAAAGTGTACAACTAGCGAAGATAGTATTACCACATTGCCTCCTTAGACAACACAGACTGTGTTAATCTAATTAAACACGCTAGTAGGTGTTCAGTTGCATCTGTGCAAAAAGGGTTTTAACTATGTTGGGGAATGTGTACTGTTTTTCAGTCTTCATTACTGATCATGCCCTTCCTATCAGTTCCCATCTCTGTGTACTCAAATACCAGCACTGCAGTAAACATCTATAGCGGAGCATTTCAAACTCTTGGATTTCATATCAAACTCCTGGATTGGATTCCCTTTAATGCCGTATTCCTTTAACTAGCAGTCAGCAGTCTTGATCCTGACGCACCTTGTTTGTGTATCACAACCCTTCCATCTTTGTTGGCATTGGTCAAAGCAAATAGGAATCCCTCTAATTGCATCATGGGAGAAGTCATGATTGGCTGCCCGTTATCTGCCACGCTGTTCTCATCTGGTACTGGTGCTGCAAAACATTAAATAAAAAAATAAGGGTGCTAAGGTGTCTTTCAGTGTTATCCTGGCTAAAGGGAAAGCAGTGCTTGTGTGACAATATACTGGAGAGATTACAATATTGCTAGATCAGTCACAGGTTTTTAAAAAAACTGCCAAAGGCACTCTTTCGTAAAAACAGTTTTGAAAAGAAAAGCAGTTTCCTCCTATCTTGCTGACCTACTTTTGCATTAGTTCTGCACTGTGGTTGGTTATCCTAATTAGGCTGTGTCAGAGCTTTCTTTCCATGCTGACATATAAAAAACTAAAATAGAATGACTAAAATAAAAAACACAACAAATGCCCATCAAAATCAACCTGTTGAAATCTAAGGGGGCCAATTCCAAAAATCTGAAGTGACAAAAGCATCTCTTCATAAACACTCTCTTCAGGAAGTAAAAAAACAACTCACAAGACTTACACTACCCGTATAACACTTAATATGGTTTTTCAACTCCTGTGCTACTCAACATACAATTACATCATCCTATTAGGGCTACCAGTTAAAATCGTAACGGGATCCACAGAAGTACACTACTTGGTAATAGAATTCTAAAATATCTGGACTCGCATGAACTCCACCAGATTAAAATGAACAAATCCAAGGCAAAATTCTAGCAACTACAGATCCATCCAGAAACAATCTGAATGACTTTGCTATTATATGATATGAAACCTCAATCACAAAGAAACAGTCAACCTCTTTTTTTTTCTCTTTCCCTCTTTTTTATCTTGATAACATTATTTGTTATTTATCTTAATACCAATAACTGATACTGTCAACTAAAAATTTGACTGGTAAGAAAGACAGCTTGATCTTCCTAGTAGTTACAGAGTGGGGAAAATGTAATGCTTTCTATCGAGTAAAAAGTTTACCCAAAGTTTGAACACACACAACAAGAACCTTTGCCCCCATAAAGCCTATTGCCCATCTCCATCTAACAACCAAGTTACAACTGACATACTTTCTAACATTGGAATTATTTCGAAGAAAAGAATATGTGCTATAACTCAAAGAGCAAACATATTTGTTGCACAGGAAAACACCAAATCATGTCGTAACTTGCTTCTTTCAGCACTTCGCAGTGCTTTACAGGGGCAACCAAGGAAATTTGCTAACAAAACTTTCTAACCTGAGATTCTGAGATTTCTAACCTGAGGTCTGATGATGACCTTTTTCTAAATAACCAAAAAGACTGTCTCTTTTGTTGTATACAATAAGGATAAAGAGCCTGTACTGAATGAACTGTACTTTGGTAGCTTTTCATAGAATTGCAATTAATAATTCTCACTTTTCTCTTAAATGTACTTTTTTAAAACATTCTTATAATCTTTTATTAGAAAGAAATTATAATATGTTGAGACTCATAACACGATGTGGACTGAAAACTGTATTTTCTCAGAATTTTAAAACATTTAAGGATTCGGGTAAACTTTGACATGTGTGTAAACAGACAAATATTGGCAAAGAATCCAGTTTTGTGCTGTGCCTGTCACTTCCCTAACTGAATAAGAAACAAGCTCATTAAAGAAATGTCAAGTAAATTTTATTTACTAGAACACTCTTAGCTGGAGAAAGTACATGTTTTCCAAGGTAGCCCATCAGACAGCACTGAAGCAAATACTTAATTAGGCACTGCAGTATCACAGAAATGAATGAGGACAAAATTCAAAGAGGAAGATTTTCATGCTTATTCATTAACAGAAGCCTTGCAAAGCAGTGCACATTGTGATTATCTGACTGACCTGTGTGTCTCTGGCCCTTCGGCAGGGTCTGCAAAAATCCCTCCAGGCCTTCTGTCTTACAGTTCTCCTTGTTAGATAAGTTCAACCCAGAACCTTGATACTTTTCCACAAAGCCAAACAGCTGAAGTAAAAAAGCAAATGTTGTGATTTTTTATTCATATTGCAATGTGTTATGACTTACAGCATTTTGTCCAAGAATGAGAAAATAATTCAATGACTAGTCTAGAATGCAATGCAGGGCAGATATTGCGCAAAATAACAAATTTGATCTGATATCATCTTTACACAGAAACAGAACGAAACTAAAAAAAATGAGTTATAAGAATTCCCCACAGACATGGAAGTGTTTTCATATTCACTTCATATTCATATTTCATTTCACTTGTCAAACAAATCTGCATAGAAACATCCAATTTTAGCTCCATATCAAAAATAAATGCTTATTTGCAGTGTTTCATTAATAAAACACCTAAATACTGTGCTGTTGGCAGCAGTGTTGAATAATGATTAAGGCTCTGATCTCATAGTGCAAAATCCCTGAACAAGGAACTTCACTCAAGATTCCTTCAGGAATGTCCAGCATAATACAGTAAAATGGGCGTACGTTGCTTTGAATAAAAGCACATTTACACATTTTTAGGCTTAGCTTTGTGAAATTAGCTGTTTTATAATTATTTTTCTTTAAATTTAAAAAAGGCTTTGTGAAATTCCACAAGACCCTACAAAAGCATGAACTTCCACTGTCAAAAACCAACTGTGACCAGGATTCCCGTAAGCAGTGATGCACAAAAGACAGAGTGCTGCGAGTTTCAAGGTTAGGATTATTCAGCCAGATGTCAGTGAGAGATGTGCCAATCCTCCGATTGGCACTCATCCTCCTGTTAGCCGACGTGGAGCTTGCAGCAGTTCAGGAAGAGAAAATGGCTCAAATGTCTACCCTCTCTGTGCAGGGGGGGAGGAGGAAGGAAAGGAATGGCAAATTCCACATTGGGTGGGAAGAAAATAAAAAATACAAAAAACCTGTTAAAGTGTCGGGACTGATATTATTTATGTAGATGGCTTTTACAGTATATTAAGATCAATACAAAAATATAAATATTTAAACATTAATGCAAATACTGAAGACCCATTATCTAAATCCGGTGAATAGCTCTCTGTATAATAATACAGAAATCAGTCTTAATTAACTCTCTATCAAGTTCACCCTCAAAACTGCAGGACTGTGGAGGTTAAGTGAAAGCAGATGATTTACAGATGAAGGGTAAAGAAGGCCGACCCGTACAGGACAATACTAAATGGAATTGTCAATCCAATTTCCTTATTTTCCCTTTTAGAAAAAAATTAATATGCTTAGATGCTTTTGGAGCAAGAGGCACTGATGATTTCCAGCTGTAACTTAGATCTAAAGCACTCACCTTTCTACTGATCATGCTTTTTTCATAGTATCGACGCACCTATCAAGATGATAAAGAGAAGACAATGACAAATGCACAACACCAATGTAGTTTTATTCCTTTATAAACTGTTCTGTTTTCACATATTTCCTCTCCAATAATCTATAATGCTTCTTCATAAACTCATTACCCTTTCCATCACTCTTTTTCAGGTCCCATCATTTTCCTTTCCATCACTTAGTTACAGAAGCAGAACCTTTTTTCTTTAATCCCCAAGACACATCTATGTTTACACAGAATAAAAGTACCGCAATATATACAGAAACACATTAGAAATGCCACATAATATTTCACCACATTATGAATTATGCACCTCTAACTGAAGAACCTGGTTGAACACTGTATTATGAACAGTTATGATTAACCACGTTTGAGTTCCCAGGCTCTTTATGCCACTACCCATTAACTCGAAAGTATGAAGTTTAAAAAAATGTGAAGTCAAATCCACAGTAGGAACCATGCTGTGAACTTTCAAGTGGAATAGCATTCATTTAATATTCCCATGACATTCAAGATATTCAATTATAACACTGAAATCAAATTCAGAGAAATTCCAGGCTGTCGCAACAGCACTGTTCAATTCCTTGGGGAAAACCCTTCAATCCACTGTTTCTTTATGCACTGAAATATACAGTATGAAACCTAACAAATTTAACATTATTTACCCATTTCTCTTGTTGCTACTGTGTTAGGAGTTCAGTCAATCACAAATTGTACACTGCAGTAAAGGTCAATAACAAAGCAAGTGTTCTCTACCAATTTTATTGCAAGGCCCCCTACATTAAGGACCAGACCTTGCAGGTAATCATGTTTTTTGCAAAAAGCGTCAATATGAATTGTTTCATACAAACAATATAAAATATTTGCATAATGCATTGCACAGACCTGGTTTTCTATCTAATTGCTCATTCGCACTTTTCAGAAAATGAAAGTCTTCAAGAAACCAAAAAGCCACTACATTTTACAAAGAAAACATTCTTTAAATTAAAGTCACTATGGAAGTTGACAGTAGTCAGTTAGACAGCCAGATGAAATGGTGATGGTGACTACATCACCCAGCTACATATCTGTTAACATCCCACTACAGAACACTTCTTATTAATAGAACATACAGTATGCAGGATAACTCTGGCACCAGAAATTTTGAAAATAAGTCAAATATTAAACACTGGCAAAGTTAATTATGCAATATTTATATATTATCAATACACTTACCTTGAAGAGGTTAATATTATCAATCTGTGCTTTACACAGGAAGTTGTTAATAGTCTGCAACTCTGTTCCTGTGTGCCAAAAAACAATAAAATAACAATAAATAATATTTTTTTAATTTCTGCTGCTTTAATTTTTCTTGAAACTGCATTCACAAGAGCAGATGGATGCCTAAATCTAGTGATTGAGGAAAGTTTGTTAGTAGTGATTAACTTGTTTTAACTATTGTTTATCTGAACAAGTCACAATAAATAATGTGCTGTTTCCCTTGGATTAAACAAAAAGCTCAATTTCTATTGTATGTTGCTCTACACCAGCTGTTCACTCCCTTGCCACTTTTGTGAAAAAAAATCAAATAAATGTGATTGCACACGTAACAACTGTTATGCACAACAATCTAAATTCAAATAGTGCCGTTATGGAAAAAATATTAAAAATACATTAAAGAAAAGTTGTCACTGTCAATGAACAACCACATTCTTTCATTCTGCATTTTAAAAACAGCAGGAGAAATCTCATATCAGCACTCACAACAGAAGATCAAACCATTTTTTTCTCAATTTTTTTTTTTAAGCCATGAGAAAAGAAAATATTTGACAACTAGATTAAATAACATTTCAACTGGATAGGAAAAACCCAACAAAAAAATGTCCAGCACAACTCATTTACTTTTTGGCATGAATTATTAAAAAATAAAGTATGAGTGTACCAGGCACAAAGTTTTATATACATATAAATGTACATACATTTAAATTCACTTTCATGTTTCCTTTTACATCCACCAATTTGGAGTAGGGAAATGTTATTCATGCCTGGCTCAGAAATGCAACCCCACATCTGAGGGAGGAAAGAACAGTCTTCTTCAAGACACCACAACCCAGCTACTCATTCCCCCCCACCACAAACTGCAGTCCTTGTTAAACTTTGGATGCGTTTTGCTCTTTTATCTTGTTTCTGCTGAATTCCCTGCCCTTTTGTTGTTTTTTATTGCTTTTCAAGAAGCCTTTTTTTTACCATGACAAAAAGACACCTCAGAGCTGCAGAGGAACATATCAGTGGTACAGGAGATCCCACAGGAAAAGCACCGAGGATTGCACCTGGCTCACAAAAAGCTTACTTTCCATTTCATTCCTTCCAGTTCATCTTGAAGAAACCAGTTCAGAGTCTGAATATACGGTGAGCAAACATTACAGAACAATCTCAGCAAAGTAAACTGACAGTGAGAGCTGTAGAAACAAGCAGGGTAAGATATCAAGAGAAAAACTAAGACAGAGCCACTGTTTTAATCCTCCAGCTATGATTCTTACCTGCGGGTGTTGTCTGTGTGTTTGGGTTTTGCCCTGTCTTCCCTGAATAAATAATGAAAAAAGGTTAAGGCACATTAATGCAGAGGAAGCAAACATGTATGGCACAATTCTTTCCATACTGTATAACATTGCAGGGTTAAGGATATTGTTTTAGGAATGGATCTTGCGTAAAATGGGATCACTGGTAAATGCACTGAAATCATTTGCACTCTTCTGACTTCATGTTTTCACAAAAACAAAAGGCTGGTTGCTTGTTAACTGCTTGTTTTTATACTGGCTATCAATAGCACAATAGAAAAAATAATGTATCTTATGCAGTTCAAATGTTCCACTATTTAGACGAAAACCAAAAAATCCTCTAAGAAAACTTAAAACAGTTTAAAGCAGAAAAAATAGAACACTAAACCCTTTATATTGCTCAGTGTTTTTTCAGCATGTCTTCAGAACCTGCATACATTTCATATTGATCAGTGACTCAGTGTCAACAATTCCCTTCCTAAAGGAACAGTTTTTAGTTAGTATGTATGAAGAGGAAAGACTCAAAACCTAAATTGCATTCCACTGTTCTGGTGAGCACGAAGCCATTTGTTATCATATTTTAAATCTAATTCACCTGTGGCCCTCTTGACTGCTGGTTCTGCATTTATCTCTACTAGCTTTGAGCAAATAACTGGAAGGATCCATTTTCCTTCTCATTGAATTCCATGAGTGTTACAAATCCCATGCTGTGTTACGAAACCTTTCATTTAAAATGACTGCGCGGGACTTCAGTACAGTATTTAAATAAATGGTTTTCATTTGTAAATATAGAACACATTACAACTGCACATAGAGACACAAAGTTACAGCTATCAGCGGTTAACAAGTGCTTGAGGATTTCCAGTGCTTTACAAAAGCAGCAATATTTTTTTTTTCTGCCTCACACAGTGTGAAGGAGTGCTGAATCTCAGCTGTTCTGAATGGGCACCGGGCAGCGCCAGAGCCTAGCTGCTGCCAAAAAACCTCTTACCTCCCAGCATTCGAACCAGACCTTCCACGACAAACAAGATCTGTTTGATGTACATCAAGTTTTTGGCTTTCAAACGATTTCTGAAAGCAAACAGATTTGTATTTAAATGAAGTTCCCCCTAGCATTGCCAATGTTTCTTAACATGAATATGTTAAGACATCTACTGTATACTCCAAGTGCTTAAGAAGCAGTGGCCTGACAAGTACACAGACTTTCTGTAAACCACTGGCTTTTACACTACAAACAGGACTGCAGGCCTCTGAGCTTAAACCAAACTCTAGATCGAAGCCCACTTTCTTTTCAGCCAGCTGTTTCAGTTTTTATTCTCATCAGGTTAGATTACACTGCCACCAAGTGCTTCTAATTGGGAAGTGTCCACAAACTGGCAGTAACAGTGACCTTCATGAAGGAAATTCTAAATTACTTTGTTACCCTCAGCAGTTATACTGTGACTGTGCCTACAAAAAGCTCTTTTTAACATTTACATTAACATCACAAAACAAAATCAGAAAAACAAGCAAACCAATTTTCAGCTGCCCCTTGATGATGATGATGTAATTGCTTTATTACATGAGTATGTTTCAAGAAACTGTAATATGATACACAAAATACCCAACAGAAACAATATAACATTTACTGAAATAACATTCTAAAGAACAGTCTAAATAATATAAATTAAGTCTAAATTACACAAGAAATGCTTTAGAAAAAAAGGTAGGACTTTAAGCAATATTTGAAACTTTTAACAAATACAGAGCATCTTATGAATCTGGACATTGGCTTCCAAACACATTGTGCTGTACCGAAGATCAGGTATTGTGTGGTTTTCAATGAGTAAGGAGGATCTAATAATAATTGCTTACACTTATATAGCACTTTTCTGGACACTCCACTCAAAGTGCTTTAAAGGTCGTGGGGAGTCCCCTCCACCACCACCAATGTGCAGCTCCTGGATGATGCGACGGCAGCCATAGTGCGTCAGAACGCTCACCACACATTAGCTATCGGTGAGGAGGAGAACAGAGTAATAAAGCCAATTCATAGATGGGGATTATTAGGAGGCCATGATTGGTAAAGGCCAATGGGAAATTTGGCCAGGACGCCGGGGTTACACTCCTACTGTTTTCGAGAAACGCCCTGGGATTTTTAATGACCACAGAGAGTCAGGGCCTCAGTTTTACATCTCATCAGAAGGACAGCACCTGTTTACAGTATAGTGTCCCCGTCACTATACTGGGGCATTATGACCCACATGGACCGCAGGGTGAGCGCCCCCTGCTGGCCCCACTAACACCTCTTCCAGCAGCAACCTTAATTTTTCCCAGTTGGTCTCTCATCCAGGTACTGACCAGGCTCACACCTGCTTAACTTCAGTGGGCTACCAGCTGTGAGTTGCAGGGTGATATGGCTGCTGCCAAAAAAGGTAAGAGACTCATTCGCATACCAGGAGTTGAACCTGGGCCACCGAGGTGCAAAACCAGGAATCCTAACTGCTAGACCAAATGAGAATACCACTATTAAAGAAAATATATATTAGAAAACACTATTAATGCTTAGAGAAAAAAAACACTCAACTAATATGTTCTTCTAAATTAATTGAGGACCCCATAGCAAAGGATCAAGATATTTATTCAATTAGAATATCTTCTGTTTGTCTTTTATTTGTACTTGGTTTTGCTTTGAATCTGTGGTGTATGTTATTTCTATAGAAAATCTTAATTGCTACCTCAAAATGTCATGACTGCAAGCTTTAAAAGAATAAAATGTGAAAACTGACAACTGTCTGAATATTCTTGCAAGTATTCCTTCATTGCACTTTTCAATATGAAGATTCTGTGCATCCAGAGTATTGAATTTAACATGTAATCTGTAATTCCATTAAAGCTCTCAATCAAATGCCTGTAAAACAGACATCTAATGTTGGCTGGTGAAGAATAAGACATACTCACCTGTAACGCTCCATATACTGGGTCAGCTGAGAATGAGCACAGCAGAGCTACAGTAAAAGACGGAAGAGAATGAAATTTACTTATATTTTTTGCTTGTTTGGTTACATTTTGTTCTTGGACCTGTAACACCTCTAAATCTATTTTGTTCTATTTCACTGAAACATATATACTTTCATTAAAAAACTGAGCTGTCAAATGTTTTTTGGATTTAAAAAATCCCGATCATGACAAGTGGTAACTGCAGATCACACTTTAGAATACTAATTTCTTCTAAACTGGATGCAAAGAGCTACATACTGTAGCTAACCTCTCAACTGCAGGTTTGTTACATCTTTATTTTATCTAGATAAACTCGAGCACTAGCTTCTGTGTAAACAATATTTTTAGACTTGTAGGTCAAAGCAAAGCATTCTTTCTGATGCAGCAATATAAATATTTTAGTATGGAGAGTTACTAAAGAAATGCAAGTTAAAATAAAATGCCAATGCTGGGAAATTGCAGAGGATGTTTTAGTCTTAAAGGAAAAACTGCAGCTGGTGCAACAAACACCTGACATAGGTGCAGCAAACGCCGAATCACAAAATCTTTCATCTTTCAAACTATAAAGCCAATACATTTCAGTTTTGCACAATGCAGCAGTGTAAATAATTCTTAAAACAAGGAAAATCATTTTGTTCAGCACATTTCTAAAAGGTATGCAAATAAAGTAAAATTGCCTTGCTTTCCCTCAGCAAATCTTCCCTCACAGTATAAATATCAACCTTCTGTGCATCTGCATAAGGCCCTGCACCCAGTTCCATTCTGTGCATAACGTGTTGCACACTTTATCTGTAATTCACAGCTGCTCATTTTGGTGCAACAGGGATCTATATCCTTTACAGCTCCCTCACTGTATATTCCAGGTGTTGTCGGTATCTGTGTACCTGCGCGCCTGTGACCTCCGAGCTGTAGATGCAGGTGATGGTGTCAATGAGGTTGTGGGCCTCATCAATTATCACAACCTGGTCCTTTAGTTTGATCCCAGAAGCCCGGCGCGTTGACTCATGCAGCAGCGTCTGATAGGGCAGCACCACCAGCTGCAGCAGGAAAGGAAACAGAACCACATGTTATGGGAGCCCAGGAATAAAGAAAAAAGTCATCATGAAAGGAAGGAATTGTGGTTACAAATATGGGACAATCAGAGAAGTTCAAGCTTAAAAATGTTCGATGCAAAATATAAATGATAGCAAAGTGAAGGAGGATTATTTCTTTTTCCATATATGAAGGTGAGAGAGGAAACAATAGCTTATACAGTTAGTTCCTGGGGAACTGTAAGAAGAATTAGACTAAGCAGAATCAAACCTGTTTTTTAAATAAATACGGTTTATTAATTCAAAGATAAATCTCAGGAGTCTAGAATACATTATCTATCATTTTAAATATATAAACCTGTAAATTTGCAAACATTTTTCCAACTTAAGTGAATTTTGTAATTTGGGAAGAAACTAAAGTTTCTTTAACATGTCTAATCACGTGAAAATACCAGATTTTGAGAAGGCTTTCAACTCAGTGTGTTCTGAGGAAAACCTCAAATGAGAATTACACAAAAAACAGAAAACCAAAACAAGAAAAACCACGAAATGCACACAGGATGTAAGCCTGTTATTTTTATATTCATATCTTATGTCACATAATTATGTTTTCAAGCGGTAGGCTGTTCCACCAAATGTCGATGCAAAAATCAAAACCAAATGTTTTGGGTGCAAAGCAGGTACAATTTTAATTTGGTGGAAAAGCCGAAAAAAAGGAAGGCAAGTCCCAGAAACAGCCAAGGTATTCACAGTAAGCTATGAAGAAACACCAATAGCAGCACATTGGTCTTCCGCCCCCCCATGTTTACTCAGAAACCTCTCATGACCTTCCTTCTGAGGTTGAGAAAATCAGCAGTGTCTCAGAACTCCAAATAAAACAGACTTCCATAGACTTTCAAAAGCAAGCCCCTCCTCCATCTTGCATAAAAGCGTCCTTTGATTTGAAGCGACAAGTTTAAACGCAGTGCACAACTCAAACTCAATTATTCCTTAAGCTCGAACAACTTCATATTCAACCGGTTAACATTTTCTTATATCCCTTCACATTTGATTTAGATTCTTATGCAAACTGACTGCTGCTGGCAGAACAAAACTGCACGTGAATATGTTTTGGGGGAAAGGAAGGGTTTGGGGAAAAATGTTAATATGATTAAAAAAGTTGATTCAGTGAATTGTTGTTTTTTGTCTGTCTTCCTTAATTACAGTAGCAGTTATCTATCAGTACACTTTTGTTTTAAGTGTATAAATGGTGCTTTTTACATCCATTAAATACAAACCTATCAGTTTTGTAATGGAAAAATCTCTACAGCAGAGTGATCTATAGTCACACTAAAAGAACAGCATTTTCCTGAAATCTGGCCAAAAGTATTTTGTGTCTCAATCCATAAACCACTGCACAAACAAAAAAGTATATTACTAAACAAAAGTGATGTTGCACCACTTCATAAACTTGAGAGAAAGGTGATGAAAACGTTAACAAAAACCTTTGAAAAAATTAGTCCACCGCTAAAGCAAAGCTATCAAATGTGGTAACTAAAGGGGTTAATAGTAGGTTTATAATCTGCTACAGCTCACATGTTTTTAAAGCTTTTTTGGCTGCAGTGTAAGCACTTTGTAGTCTGATGTCATCAGATCTTAAAATATAGGTAAGGCTAAAACAAGTGAGTACTTGGGTCACTTCTGAGAAAAAAACAGGTTTTTGCTGCAAGTTGGTCAACCAGTAAGCAGTACATCTCCAGCTAGACCAGAATTTCCAAAGCAGTTCCACAGAATGGTAACAGGAACACAGTTGTCATAGCATATGATGTCCTGTCCTGACTATTTGGTTATTAAAGATTGCACTGCATTTTTTAAAACAGCAGGGGTTAACCTGCTGCCCAGGTGTTGCTCAGGGTAAATTCCACTCTGGAATACAATCTGTTTTCTCCACAGTCCCCCCCAATTTAATTGATGAAGCAATTTCCATTGTTTCTCTACGTGACCTGTTATATGAAATCTAGTTAATCAACACCCAGTCGGCAAGCCCACACAGACAAGAAAGCACCGCAAGATGAGGAATACAGAGTTTCACCTCTTTACAGACATTCAACTGTTGGTTTAGTTTAGTAGGTCAGGGGTCAATGGCTCTGTTCTAGTCTTAACAATATATATGTTTTAAATCATAAAATAGCCTTGCTGAGGGAACAGAGAAGAAACATTTGAAATGAATGGCTTACTGTATATTTAGCAAATATTCTGGTAGTTTCTAAACAACTGTTCTATCTTAATATACTATATTAACAAAAATATTTGGATCCTCTCAACCTTCATAAAAGCAACAGATTGTATAACTGGTCTTGTACTATGTAGAAGGGCTGTTTTGATTAGAATCTAGAGGTTACTCCTGCACTATAAAATCAATCAAAGGGGAAAGCACTGAAGACAGGGAAAATCAGTGCTTTTACGTCACAAGAATACATTAAATAAAACTGTAGGATACGAAACATTAATATTTAAAGTGTTCATATACACCTATGATGTTAATACCTTTACTTGTTAGGATTCCCAATGAGATGTATTTTTCCCCATACGATCCCAATTAATATAATGAGATTGGTCAGATCTACTCTAGAGGTCGCAAGGTCATATTCTATGAGGTAGTTTGGTCTTTTAAAAAAGGAGCGAGAAAAGTTCACCTCCAGGAGATGTACGTTTACATTTATTTAAACAAATTTAACAAACATTTATAACATATAAAGTTTATAATTGTCTTGCAGAAATTTCAGAAAAGGATCTAATCACAGTATATTACTTGGGGATTCTGATGATGGTAAATTATGGTGGTACTAATGATGGTCAATTATTACTTTTCAGTAAGGTGTTTATATCATACAGTATGAACCTTAAAAAAGGCTTAGAAATCTACTTTTTTTACTTTTATTAAAGTATCAGCAGCTTTTTGATAATTAAAACAAATTCTTTGAAACTACCCCTTTCTCTTCCAAACTTCTCTGAACCGGTTTCACTTATCCGATTATGAGGACCTGCTTCAAGGATGCCCATCTTCATTCAGTTCATAACATTACATCCATCAAGCAGCAGGCTAAAACTAATGTGTATCATAAACTCTAGTGCAATTCTACTGCAGGTAACAAAACTCAGGAAAGAGACTCCTGGTCTGAACGGAGACAAAGCTTCTTAGCTGCTTAATCTCCCTGTCCCCTGGGATTTTCGGGTTTGCTGACTCACCTGTGCAGCAGGGATGGCCAGGCGGCCTCCATAGTAAGGACAGGCCTTGGTCTCCTTCCCCAGGGCCGCCAGCTGCTCAATGTCCTGCACCTTTACCAGAATCTCATCGCGCAGCGCCTGCAAGGCCTCGTAGCCTGAGAACGGGCACACTGGCTTGGCCGCTCCCCGCCTCCTCTTGGGCTCCTGGACCTTCTCCGTCTTCTCTGTGGGGGCAAAGGATGGAAAAGCTGGCTTTGTCAAGCACAGACATTGAGAAATGCTCAATTCAAAAATACAAAGTATCTGAGGAGGCACACACAGGACTGGATGGAGACGGAGCTGCATTTTCGAACCATTTCTATTCTTTTTATCTGTCTACCTATAATCTATTTACTATTGTATATTAGCTATATAGTTATATTATAGTACACTATATTATTACATATTAGTGTAATATACTAATATTATACTATTATATATAGTAGCTCTAAGAATTGTGCCTAGTCTGCGATTCATTCACAACTGTACTTATGTGCTTTAGAAGGTAAGGATGAAATAATAAGGGTGCTACTTATTCATGATAACATAAAACACATTTTGAATGATAACTCTGCACTGTGAAAACTCTTCTTTAGTTTATGTAAAAATGCTGAGTATCAAAGACAGCTTTTGGAACAGTTTTGTTAACCAGCACAATTCAGGCAGGCTGTCGCATTACCCATAAATGTCTTGGATACATATAGATTTGTATATAAAAAGTTGAAGATACACCAAAAAGAGTGGAATATGGCACAGTTTCACACAGCTCTCTGCATCCACAGAAGAAATATATTTTTCTCTGAGATTTAAGTTAATTTTTGCTGTGCTCACATCATGTTTTATTATATTACCTATGCACCTATCACAGACACAGTAATCATAGTGTGAATACCTATTTTCGATTTCAGTTTGATCATATACTGTATACTTGCCCTGCAAAGTCTATGCCATAAACCCTAGTGTAATTTCAATTGGAATTAGAACTGTAACTATTATAAAATATTAATTTTAAAATAAATAAGAAATGGAAATAAAATGTATAAAAACAGAAATTGACCTATAACCCAATTAGATCTTCCCTGTCGTGGAAAGACGCAAGCTTTACAATAAAAAAAAGTTAATAGATTTTAATTCATACACTGAAAGCTGAGTTTACAAGAGATTTAAATCTTTCTTTAGAGGGACTTTGGAATATATGTTTGCAAGACAGTATAAAACATTTAAAAGAAACTGGCTTCCATGTACTGTAGCATCAATTCTCAGATCAATTCACTGGAAGAGAGTTTTCTTACTGCAAAACCAGGCGACACTTGTGCAGAACCCTCTCCCTGCTCACCGTGCTTGTTCTTCTGCATCTCCATGCAACGATCATTGATAAGCTGGACACTGCTCAGTCTGCGAACATCTTCATTGATGCAGAGATTCTACGGCAGAGCAAGAAATACCACACCCTCAATCCCTTCCATTTCTAAAACACACCTCTCAACTCTTGAACTACTGGAAGTAGGCTTCTCAATCTATCAACTTGCCAAAGACGTATAATCCATCATACACAACATTTAAATTTTTTAAAAGCAGAGATAGCTTTCTGATGGCTGCAATATCTCAAGGATTCTTTAAACAAAACCGTTAAACTTTACATTTTCATGCTTTTTCAATCCAAGTACTACACAGCCAAAAACATTAGAGGGGCCTGAGTGTATTTCTGCTGCATATTTGTAGTCAAGCTATTTTTGGCACCAGTTGCCCTGGATCACATTTCATTCAGCACAGTAGTGTGCAGGAAATGCTGATTTGGGTCTCAAGTCAAACATCAACAAAGTATAACATAAACGTCATAAATAAAAATCCACTTAAAATGTACTGACTCCAGCTATAAATGATTTAATCCCACCCAGCAGGGGAGTTCCCACATGTAGCAGTGTCATGTGGTTTCAACACCTGCCGGGCTAATTGTTTGATAACTTGGAGATAATTAACACTGCTCCTAGAAGTTTTTAACAGGAGCTGTAGGTACGGTACCTTGTTTGAAACACCTTTAAACTGCAATCTTTACAAAGGCTAAGGAAAGGAAGGAAGGCTTTTTACAAATAAGAATAAAATGAAAAAATGGGTTATTCCATGAAATATTTTGGAAATCTCCAAGGTAACATTTCATCTGGAAAAGACATTAATAGCGCTTTGCAGGGTTTGATGAGGTTACCTGCCGAGAGGCTAGCGACACCAGTCGGATATCGCTGGCGAATGCGCTCTTCTGAACTTCTTGAACAAACTGGGCTAGCTGAGAGTGGGTACGGCTGCAGTAATAAATCTGTGGGCATGGAACGGAGAAAAATGCTGCTTATACATGAACAACCAACTGGTCTCTTATTCTTTAAAGGGTTACAGATTGTTTTGCATAATAATCTGGTTATTCCACATCACTGGAAAATATACACTATGACATTCAAGAAAATCTCCTTCCAAAAAGCATTAGTGTAAGAATTAGACGTCCAGCACCTACATTTTCTGTTCTCCATAAATTTTGTTAATTATCACACATTCACTGTTGTTATTTTATATTAGACTATTGCTAATTTTTCACTATTTGAAATTAAACTAAAGCGAGGCAAATTTCCATGTTGCCTTTGATATTACATATAAAATCTAAATATTTTATATAATACTGCATATAAGAATTTGGCATTGTATATTTCTAATTAAAAGTGCCTATGTAAGATTTTGAGAGCAGATGCAACCTAAGAACAGAAAAGATTTTAACAGGAAATTTGTAACAAGTGAGAGGGTACTGAGTCATAAAGCCCTTGGCAGCTTTGGCAACCAAAATTAATCTATAAAGGGCAATATCAACATCAAAGAGAATTAATTCTGACTAAAAGTAAGCATTTCAACAAATGGCACTCAAATACAATACATAACGGGGGATATAAAAATAATAAAACTACAAAACAGGAAAAGAGCATAGGGATGGTGAGAATTCTTCACAAACCTTGGTCACGTGGTCTTCTTCCAAATCATCATCGTCCTCATCTAAACAGCTGCATAGGAAATGACAGTATTAGTACACCTCTTGCAGACGGTACACAAAAAAGAACAGTGTTCATACTAATATTCAACAAAATATATATTCCTTATTTCGGACACTTTTACTCCCTAACAGCAATTTCTATGTTTTCAAACCTGTGCTGTAGAATTCTTGCATCTCCTGACAACAATCAGCTTGGCAAGTCTCACAGCAACAAAGAGGACGTGCATACAAAACCACAGTGATAGTGTAGGTCAAATTAAGAATTACTTAAAAATGAATCTTTACAAAAAAGATTAAGGGCAATAATGAATGCATCATGCTAGCAAGGTTCAAATAATGAGGACCGGACAAACGAAAGAATATCAGATCTTAAACTTTTGTATTCCAATATATAATTTTACTTAAATAATAAAGCAACCAATGGGCTTGGAATACCCTGCAAAGTAAATTTCAGTGGGCAATATGATAGTCCAGAAATAGGCAACAGTTCAGATTTATTAAACAAAGCAGAAAAACAAAATATTAGAAGTCATGGGGCAGCCAGACCCAATCTAACAAACAATGGGCACAACGCAGGGTACACCCTGGATGGGACACCGGAGCCGGTTTTCCTAGAAGCCAATTAACCTGCCAGCATGTCTTTTGATTGTGGAAGGAAACAGGAGCACCCAAGGAAACTCACACAAAAACAGGGAGAACATACAAACTTGTGGATTTAAACGAGAAATGAAATATTTTCACAAATAATGAAAAATTTTAATATATTCCCTAAATTAAATCAGAGTCCCATCCTTCCATCACTTTACTGCGATGCTGAAACTCTCTCCATTCAGCCTGTCTCTCTTTCTTTCCTCTTTCATTTTCTCTGCTCCTGTAAACTCAGTGTTGAAGATATCAGCTGGCTCCCAGTTCTAGGTTAAAAGGTGACAAAAGATTTGGTAGTCGCCTAAAAATTGGGATCAGTTTGTCTTATCAGATAGTTCTGAAGGGTGAAAGCATATAAAAACATCCAGTTAAATTAAACCAGCCCCATAACTGCGTCTCTTTTTAAAATAACAAGTAATGGAAATAAGATATGGACAACCGCTGAGTAAATAAATTAATAACAACAACTGCTTCACACAAGAAGTCAAATTCATCCTTCAAATGGCACAAACTACTTAGAATCTGCATATGTCAAACATACTGTATACTCTAAAACCTCACATTAACATTAAAAGCGAGTAAATTCTCAAGCACACCAGAGTCCTACAACTTCAATTGAAAATATATTTTTTTGTCTGAAGGAGGCTTCTAATCCCCCAACTATTCAGTTTCAGAAATTTCTGGGACAAATTAAAGAGTAACTGCTTCTTTTCTGATTCCTAGAACTGATCAGGAGATACTTGTAACCTAATGTGTGACCTTAATAAATTACACTCACTCCTACAGTATGTTAACAACCTGGAAATTGAGTGTCTGGACAGAGAACCCTGAAAGTCTGTCTGTTTTCCTATATTGATAAAAAAAAAATTATAAGTAGTAAGTTTAATTATCCTTTGTAGTAGCTCAAAAAGATATAGAAACCCATTTAGTCAGATCTCACGTCACAGACTTCAAAGTGAACATGATGTACTTCAATATTTCCTTTCTCCTGAATCTGAGACGGATCTGACTTGTTTTATCCAAAACAAATTTGTGAAAAGATTTTAGCCTTTAAGATGCTGCACATGGTTATCAACTGACCATTAAGCAGTACAGAACAATCTGTGACTCATTTTAAACATTTTAAAAAACATTAGCATTCCATATCTCCACAACTCATAGCTCAACAGTCCCATTAAATCACAAACGTAGCTGTCTTGGTATTTTTATGGTCAGCTTAAGCAGGCCAAACTGAGAAGCATGAGAGTATTTCACCACCTACTGGTTATTTCACGAAAGGGTGTTTTATGTAAAGACAATCTTAAACTTCAGAATCTAAGTATAGACACAGCTACATACAGTAGATATTGGCAAGAAGCATGCAGTATTATTCCAGCCTTAATTCTAGTTGGGTTGGTTCATTACCATGCCCATAGATTATATAGAAATTATAGACCTTATATTTTTTTCCTGAGATCTTTAATTTTATACATGAAAGCAATTGAAATGGATAAAAATGAAGTGATAGCTTCACCAAATAATACAGTAACTTTGTATGAGATGCGCTTACAATATTTAGATTGGTATCTACATTTATTACTGGTTACATCTTGTGGAGCTTTTTCACAGGGATTTTAAGGACCCTTCCTGCAAAACTTTTCTTGGTGCTCCAGTTAAAAGCTTGCATTGCCATGGAAATATCTTCTTTACAGTTAAATCATCATCCCTTAAAATTTCTACTTTTCAGCTGATTTAATGTGCAACTAAGTTGCATGAATGGAGTTATCCAATGTATTCACAATTTTCTCTGTACTGTTATACTGTCTAACATACTGTACACCTTTTTCATTTTCTTAACATAAATCTGATCAGCATGTCTACTTTCCCAGGGCATTTAAATGTTCCTCTGTTTTGCATGAGTTTTTTTTTTCCCCCAATTGGAGCTGACAAATCTTCCAAGATTCCCGAGCCATATTGAGACAAAGAGTACCATTTTATGAATTTTAAGAACTACTGCACACGCTTAATAGTTTTTCTCCTGATTTACACCGACTCCAATCGCTTCAGGTAATTGTTACGTCACACACAGCATCCGCTTTTGTTACAACGCTGTTGCACTTCTGTTGCGATTATTGCGTTACAGCACTTAGGTGCCTTGTGGGTTTTTTGTCATTCTCTGTCTGTTCTAAGACTTGGACAATAAAGAGCAGACGTGTGCCTCCACCTTACTCCCTGTTTTTCCGCAGTGTAACAGTAATACTAATAAAAAAATAAATGGAAAAAGAGAAGCTGCTGCAGTTTTAATAAGGATTACTACATAGGGGACAATCAAAGCATTCATAATTGAAGGAATAAGTTTCCTACAAGTAAAAAAGCATATAAAATCTATACAGGGGTACAAATTATGTTTGTATGACACTACTATTGTACAAATGGCTCATATGCAAGGTTGTTATGGCAACACTGAAGTTTTTAGGTTAAATTAAAAGAATAAACTGCATTATTACTGAAGTACATAGATTTATGTATCGTCGCATATGATTATATCTGATCAAGTACTGCATCTGTATTTTTCCTTTATTATATTTAAACTTCTAAACTGTCATCTTTCATTCGTTGTCTCTCTGTTCCTATAGTGATGCTAGATTGAAAGCAGATTTGAGCACACTCAGCTGCTGCACTGAAGGGAAATTAATATCAAGTGAATGTGATATTTAAATATTTAAAAGTGTACGTCAGACAGTACGTCAACAGCATGGTGTTGCAGTGGTTAGGACTGCCGTCTCACAGTGCTGGTTCCCAGATCTGGGGAGTTATCTGCTTGAGTTTGTTTGTTCTCCCTATTTTTCTGTGGTTGTTCTCCAGGTTCTCTGGTTTCCTCCCACAGTCCAATAGCATTCTGGTAAGTTAATTGCCTTCCAGGGAAGTTAGTCCTGGTGTGAGTTTCTGCGTGCCTTGTGTCCGACTGGCCTCCTGTCCAGGGTGTACCATTTATTAGATATAGAGGTTAGAAAATGGATGGATGTTAGCTACCTCCATCCACATACCCCTGGCAAGGATTACAACCCAGAGCCTCTCTCAGAAGCATAGAGACAACGGCCTTTATGGGATATCAGTCCATCACAGATTGCACACAAATGCACACACGCAGTTAACTCCCATTAACACATTTCGCGCATCTAAATAAATGGGAGAAAATCCATACAAAGAAATCACAAGCTCTGCACAACAGCTGCCCCCATCGAGAATTGAACTCATGACCCAGGAATCATTGTGCTGCCCATCATGTCACTGGGGTGCCCCGTGCAAACAACAATTGTTGAGATTGTGATCCGTCACACGGGATTTTAAAGAATCCCGGTTCTTGGGCAGTTAAAGGACCCTGATCTAATCCCACAGCCCTTCTCACCCCAACCCACCTTCTCTTCGGCACTGCATTATCATCGTCGCTCTCATAGACGGCCACAATCACCTCTTCTTCCCCTTCTTCAAGGACGTCACCACCCTCCGCAGTCAAGGCCTCCTTACTGAGCTTCAGCAGGCGAACTGCCTCTTCATCCTCACTGTCTTGCTAACACCCATGAAGGTTAACATTCATTAGAGGAAATGTGACTCCAAATCTGTACAAAGGGCTACACATTGATTCCAGATCTGTCCAAAGGGCTACACATTGATTCCAGATCTGTACAAAGGGCTACACACGTGCTACACTTTACTGTTGCAAAACAGGACTTGCACTCAAACATGCCATACAAAAACAAGATTAAATTTGTATTACTCACATTTAACAGCAGCAATGCTGCTCAATATCATTAACTCAAAACATTGGATAAAGTGTAATTACAGTAGATATTTATCAACAGGACATTTTGCTAAGATGATTTAAGACATTAAAACGAAGAAGAAACAAGGATAATAATATTTTACCTCCAGCATTAACTGAAACCCAGAAAAACACACATTTTTAATTCAAGTGACTTTAATGGACAATGGTTCTCCTAATCCATCTATGACCAACACGTTAACTAACTCAGTGCCTCCCTTTGTGTAACACACCCTCCCCTTACTCAAGCAACACCAAAATAGGTTTTGCTTAAACAGCTCTGAGCTAAAATGACAATTATATTAGTTATTAAACAAAACACACAGAAAATATTTTCTAAAGATATGCTTCATTAACTGGCACAGAGAAATGAGCAATAAGCGTAGTCTTTTGTCTAAAGACCACTCCTGAGGAGCTGGCAAACCCAGCGACAGTCATACCTTGCGTTTCATTGTGTATTTGAGCTTAGTGTTACGTCGCATCAACTCCAAACGTTCTTCCCTTCTCTTCCTCTTCAACTCATCCTCCTAGACAGAGAAAAGAAAATCAGGATATCTCCTCATGTAGTTTCTTATGTAAAGTGAAAACAGATGTCAAAGGAAGCTTTGATGCTTCAGTCAGTCAGTCCCATTGGTATTTTGGCACTGCTAACAGACGCAAACATGCCTTGTGGAACTGATTATATTTTTTACTGAAAAGTTCCTGATCTCATTATTCCCTAGAGAGTTCCCAATCTTAATCCCTTTAAACTGTTTCTTCAAACTTTTTTATTAATACCTTTAATTTGCTGACCAGATCTCTCTCCGCCTTCTTCTGCACGAAGTCTGTGATCCAGTTGGGCTCTGCAGAGTCTGAGCTCTCCTGGCTCTGGGAAGCCTGTTGGCTCCCTGCAGAGCTGTCTGTAGCAAGGTCCCCAGACTCTAGCAGGCGAGCTGTCTCCTGCCTCTTTCTCTCCTCGTAGTCCCTCAACCAGGTGAGGGCACCACAGATCAGACTGAGAGACTTCCCCTGGAACACAGAACAAGTGGGTCGGAAGCTTGCTCAGCTTCAAAAAGATTGAGGGTGTAGCTTATTCAGCTAGCAGCTCACCGTGCAACTCACAACTGGCAATCTGCTGAAGATTAGCCTGGCCAGTAACTGGATGGGAGACCTCCTGGGAAAGGACGAATTGTAAAACCAGGGTCCTGACTCTGCGTGGTCATTAAAAATCCTAGGGCCCAGGGCGTTTCTCAGAAAGAGTAGGAGTGTTACCCCGGTGTCCTGGCTAAATTTCCTCCTGGCCTTTACCAATCATGGCCTCCTAATAATGAATTTGTGAAATAGTGCCGCTCATTCTTAGTTATACAGTAAATGCACTTCCTCTTTATTTCCACTTGTGTCCTTTGGTTTGGGTTTCACTGTTTATTGTGAAAAGCCCACTTGGGTTTACTTCATCAATGCATTTTAATTAGCAGAATTCCCCTCTTTCAGGAACAGTATATACCCCTTTTTTAACCTAGATACTTCAAACCATATTATCCAAGTGAGAGTCCACAGGCAGCCTATTTAGCAAAATGTCTTTATGTTGAATATGTGATATTAAAGATTATATATTTAATTTAGCTGACATTTATTAAGCATGACCCATGTATATAAAGGGAATAATGGAATAACCAAAATCTATGTTTTATGCAGAATATATCATATATTGACAGTCCTTGAAAAAATCCCAAAAAAGATTCATAATGAGAGACCTCTGAATTCACACACTGGAAAGCTTACTCTGTCTCAACATTAGGACCTAACAGCAATTCAGGAGCTGACAACATTGTGTATCAGGCTCACTTTACTGGAGACAAATAATGACTGTGTGAACATGTCAGCAATATATAGTTATTATTCTTTGAGCTGGACAGGGGTAAACCATGGAAATAAGACAATTAACTCACTGTTCCAGTAGGGCTCTCAAAAATGCCAACCTTTCCTTCATCTAATGCAGTGTACAAAGCCTCCATGAACTGCTTCTGGATGGAGTATGGTTGGTATGGAAATGGGAACTGTATAGGTCCATCTGCCATCTTGAAGCAGACTATGTTAAGAAAGAGAAGTAGCACAGAAAAGAAGCACAGAAAAAACACATAAATCATACTTTATTCTGTCCTCATCCCCATACATGGAAGCAAAGGGCTTACACATTTTGAGTACAAGTGTACAGAGTACCCCATACTGCTCTAGTAGAACTGCACACAATGACACAGACTCCCACGAGGTGGTCCACTAAGTAGAGGAGTCTGTCTAGGATTGTACAAATGTTATTGGGGTTCTTGTCTCATGACTGTCAAGATTTACACAGGAACTGTGTACTAGGCCACCACTTCCAGAGTAATCAGCACTGTTGGATAATTACCCCCGGCACAGAAACAAGTTCCTCCTGGAGAGCTTTCTTGTATTTTCTGTCAAAGGTTAAACATCCTCCACTGAACACGATAACCAGCCGATGCCCAAAACCCAACTCACACCACCATAGACTTTAATGTGTTCTATAGATGGTCTAAGAATTCAGTCCTACCACATTGCAACAGTATAGTGAAACCTAAGACAACAAAGTTTTCCAGGAAACGTTTGAAAAAAAATGTCTCTGTGCTTCCAGTTTTCCTAAACAAATGCAGCCTCAATGTTATCATAAAATTTTAAACATGGCTATAATTATAAAAAACTAAAGATCCATAGTGATTACTCCGTAGAAAACTATAACAAAACTCGCAAGCATAATCTAAATAAGATGAGAACAGTCATCAAATGAATGGATGCCTTAAAGTTCGGTCTAATTCTGAACCGGATCAATGACCAGCCAATCACCGCTCGTGTGACGTCAAGATCGTCCAATCACTGACTGCAGGTCAGACATCAATGGCAAGATATTACGTTTAAACAAGCAACTTCTAAAATTAAACCCATTGTTTAACATTGATTTAACGAGAAATGATTAGTTCCCTGTTTGTCTTCCGTTTGTCTTCTATGGGTAAGCAAACTCAATTATCAAATATATAAACATGCATAAAATCCACCGCGAAGATTGACCAATTCAGCACACAGCAATACACGGACATAAATATACTCAGCTACTTGTAAACGTAAGGAATAATCTGTTGAAATATTCACCGAGTAGTGTGCAGTACGATAGCCGCTGTTCTTGCTGGAGGGCTCACGCTGTTGCAAAGAGCGCGCCAAGTGCTGGGGTAAAATCAGCCAATCACAGACACCCCCGCGATGAACGGAAGGGCTCAGATTACAGCCGGGTTAGGCAAAAAAGTGTTAGTCATTACCCCCAACAATTAAACATATCAATGATTTATTCAAAGGATTCATTGGAATCGTTTTCTCATCTCACAATTCATATGAATAATGCTCTGTGTTGTTACACATACAAAAAATGTATGTGTAATATAGATCGATATATCGTTTTCCTTCTTTTCCAAACTGAACCATTTAAGAGAAAAGGGAGTGTCTACAAAGTTTTAGATCAGGTAAATGAATTAAGTCCTTTAAAAACATACCTACTAACTGTTTGGATTAATGTTTCGTTTACTTTCAGTGCAACAGCCGTTGCAAATTTGTAAACTTGATGATATTTTCAGAATAGGAACACGATTTACTTCCATTTCTTTTCCTAAAACTCATCCATTAATTGTCAGCCCGGTGAAACAATCCTCGCTACTGAAATAAACATGCGTTTAACCGTTTAAACATTTAAACATGATGTATATTCATATTCCCCGCAGCACGTTAAAACCATGAGAAAAGTTTCTGAATTTGCCTAAGCTGCTAATGCACAAGAAGGTTTGCGTTTTTTTCGCGTGTGGAGATATTGGAAGCGACCCCTGGCGCAGGCTACAGTTCAGCCCGGCGCGGCTCTGGAAAGTTCTGTGCCCGTCCTCCTTCGGGGAGCTTGATAGACGGCGCTCGACTGGCAGCCCTGCAGTACGAAGCACACCGCGCGTAGTTCGCAGACGCCTCTGATGCGGACTTTTCGGAACACTGAGATTGCTCTCTGATAAGAGATTTTCAGTCGGCTGCGATTTAAATATATAGTTTATATTTTGTAACAATAAGCTATTGCTTTTGTGTGGATCGATTCCGACACAGGAACAAGCGGCAGGTTTATATCGCAGGTGTTTAAAATTGATTAAAGAGAAAGGGGGTCTGGCGATATCTCCATTCTAGCTACTGAGATCTGAGATTCGGTTAGAATTGCCGTTACAGGTCAGGCGAAATGACTGCAGAAGAAGTAAACGCCGAAGGACAGCAAACGACCCAGATGGAGGGGGAAGACATTACCCCGAAAAAAGATGGAGGAGTTTTAAAGGTAAATAATCTGAATGTATAAAGTGCACGTAGTAGTAGGAAGAGTGATTAATAGCTATTACATAGCTGACTCGTTTTTAATAACGTCTTAATAAATGCGCTTAGTCACCCTGCTGCTAGAAACTCGGTTTTCTGTGAACATGTAAGCCTTTGATTTCCCATAACGTTTTGCATAACTCTATGGTTTTATCTTCATTTGCTCTGCAGTTGGCCCGGTGATTTTTACGTATTTATCCAGACCTTAATAATCGATTCCTAAATACCAAATTGATTACCATAATACTTGGTAAAAAAAAATGAATGGGTATGTGGCTAGTTTGTATGTAAAGGGACGGATTTTTACTCTGACTTTGCAACGTTGAGGAGCTATAAAACCACTCGTAAATACTGCATTAATATTATTAAATAATATCTCGGGGGTCGCAAGGGCAAGTGAAAACTTAGAATGTCCTTATATTCCATGCCTCTACGTTGAGTTGATATTTAGAAATGTTCTGCAACTTTTCTCAGAGCAACCAAATCAGAATTTAATTTCTCAGCAACTACAGGTATTAAGACTTAAACGTCGGAAAGCGAGTAAATGTCACCAACTTCCAAACTGCAGAAAGTACACTGCCCTGGACTTTTCGCACTGAAAAAGTATTTGCGCAGTCACCTTCTTAAATCGTTCTGCAGTCGAATTGTAGCATCTTACTATGTGTTCCACCAATGCCTTCCCCGTTTTTAGACGAATTTAGTTTCATTGGCTTTGAAATTTGAGAATTAATGACTTCCTGCCCTCTTTGTTGCTCTACCGCCTGCGTGTCTGGGCGCACCGCGAGTGTGGTGTTGGTGCGGCTGGAAGCTCCGAGGGTTTTCTAGAACACTGGAACCCCCACGTGCAGGATCTGTCCACGCCGAGAGCAAGATCGCTTCCGTGTCAGTGTTCAGAACTAAGTTCACAATGTCGTGTGTTGACAGGCTTCCTATTGACCAATAGGAATATTGTAATATAATAGTAGTAAACGTCCGCATACCAAATAAATCTAGAATTTCAATCCATTTCAGTTTCTGGACTGTTGGCTGTGAAGTTAATTGACACCTCAACCTGCCAAACCTGAATTCCATATGACAGATCCGTTACATTTTAATTTTAAGAAGGTGATAAAAGACCTCTTCCTTATTAAAGCGTTGTCTTAATCTATTACCCAGAATTGGAAGGTTAATCTTAAAATTCACCTGTTTAACTGGTAATCCACCAGCTACATTTTTGAAAGAAGGTAGATACCTTTTTAAAGATGATAAGTGGAATCAGTCAAACCAGACAGGAAACAGTTTGTGCATCTGTTGAAGATTTTAAACATACTACATTAAAATTCTATACAACATTGAAAACACATGATTAGTTTGAAACTTAACAAAGCATTAAATGGAGAATTAGGCCTAGTGGTTATCTATTAAGTTAATCATGAACATTTATGCTATTTTGTTAATCTTGGACAGTTTGAACTATTGTTTTTCAATGCTTACATATAGTTTTACTTACTGTCAGATTATCCCTAATGTACATGATTGGATGTTTTCATTATCTTTCAATGTGAAAATTAGCATAAACATAATAAGAGAACAAATGTGTTGGAATTGCTTAAGTTTTATTAACATTTGCCATATATGAGCAGTATTATTTATTTGTATTCGTTTTGATTCTTAGGTGATGATAATGAGATGACTGTACAACACAGCATAGCATGTCCCTTTGTGTTTATTTTGTTTAAAATTATCCATTACAGCTCTGTGTACAGCGTTGTGATCACCGTGGTCACTCCTAGACCAGAGTTCTGGGCAACCTTTGAGGCTACCAGGTCTCATATTGTGAAATAAGGTTATTGCAGTTGCACTTGTCTTTCCACCAGCCTCAGGAGAGTGGCTGACCCTTTAGCATAGTGCATGTTTCACACTTTGTCTGCTTCTCAGAGGAGCCCAAAATGGTGATCCCATGTAAGATCTGTCCACATGGTAGTAGGTGTCATAATACATAATAATAATAATAATAATAATCATTGCTTACACTTACATAGCGCTTTTCTTGACACTCCACTCAAAGCGCTTTACAGGTAATAGGGACTCCCCTCCACCACCACCAATGTGCAGCATCCACCTGGCCATAGTGCGCCAGAACACTCACCACACATCAGCTATTAGTGGGGAGGAGAGCAGAGTAATGAAGCCAATTCATAGATGGGGATTATTAGGAGGCCATGATGTAAGGGCCAATGGGAAATTTGGCCAGGACGCCGGGGTTACACCCCTACTCTTTTCAAGAAACACCCTGGGATTTTTAATGACCACAGAGAGTCAGGACCTCCGATTTACGTCTCATCCGAAGGACGGCACCTGTTTACAGTATATTGTCCCTGTCACTGAACTGGGGTATTAGGACCCACATGGAGCGCAGGGTGAGCGCCCCCTGCTGGCCCCACTAACACCTCTTCCAGCAGCAACCTTAGTTTTTCCCAGGAGGTCTCCCATCCAGGTACTGACCAGGCTCACACCTGCTGAGCTTCTGTGGGCTGCTAATTGTGAGTTGCAGGGTGATATGGCTGCTGGCCATGAGTGTGCATGCTGTTACCATTAGTTTCTTGTGCTTTGCAGGCCAGAAGCATGAGTTGGAGGGTTAGCTATCGATTTAAGACTTGGTAGAAACTGATAGTCCTTCAGTCTCATGATTGTCCGGCAAGTCAAAGCTAATTTACCTCTGGCTGGTTTTGACTTCTTCCAGTTCTGGTTTCCTGGTGGTGCTTGTCCTCAAATGCACTGTTACTTAGGAAATCCCAGTGACAATTGACTGGCTTCTGCACTAAAAAGGTCAGATTCTGTACTGTAGGGCCTTGCTCCTCTGAGTGAAGGTCTTTACCAGTAGATCCACTCAGTAGCCCCTTCTCCATGTCCTGTTGCAGTGGAAGAAATTGACACATCCACGTTTTAGCCAAATCAAATGAAAAAATACAGTAGTGTCAGCTTTTAATAGCACATAAATGATGATGTGATACTTATACTTCCCCTCTGTGGAAAGTGCTACCTTTCAGATGGTTATTTCCAAAATATTTGGATTCAGGTCAGCACACTGCAGATGCAGAACCATGCAGTTTTTGATGTTGGAATTAAACAAGGTCATCATTCTCATCAAATGAATTTTTCATGCTTTTTTTAAGTGAAAGTTTTAGGTCTGCTAAAACTAAGATTAGGACCATGGGGAACTATTCAAATCTATTCAAAGCTACCTGTGTAGCTTAAGAGCCCCAGTTGATTATTCCTCACACTGTCACCTAACATAGAAATAAAGAAATGCCCTATTCCTTTATAATGTCAGTCTTGGATCATATCCCATGGTATGGGGTATGATCCAAGGGTTATATAATGTATGTAAGTACAACATGTGAAACAGTTTTTGAATTTGTGGAATATGTTCTGGTTAGAATGTGTTTAATGGTCTGAGTAAGAACTGTATCATTATTTTTCCTTTGGAAACTGCAACTAATTACCATTCATATGTGTCAGTCCTTGAAAAAAAAGCCTATTGAAGAGCAAAAGCTATTTCTGGTCCATAACAAATATCTCCATTGTCTAGTCATGTCGAGACTAGTCATGCAGTCACTGAGCGTTCAACAATTTTAATATATATTGTGCAGTAACCTATTTTTTTCATTTTTGAATGTTTTTTTTAATCAAAATAATTATTAGGCTGATTAAGGCTGATTTTGTTGTGGGACTGAAAACTGCTACATATGTTTTTGCAGTGTTTGCAGCGATGTGTTTTTATCTTTGAACAGTTAGTATTCCTATAGGAAATGGCATATCCATTTTCTGGCGTGTGGTACAAGTAACATGCAGGTCACTGTCAGCATCTTTTGCGACGATTGTATTTTGATATTTATAAGTAGTTAAATTTCAGCGTGAATTTAAGTTTACATAGATAATAATCATTGCTGGGATAAAAAAAAGAGTAGGCCAGTAAGTATCCCTACAGGCTGAATCACAGCTCTATACAACATAGATTGGATGTTTTCATTATTCCCTTTGTTGGGCAGAAGTTATTAGGTGAATGGTAAAAATGAAAATGGAAACACAGATAAAATTAAAGAACATTGTATATGATGATACGTCATGTAATGCTGTTTCTACTTTTCTTCTTCTCACATGTCTTAACAGTCAATTAAGAAGGAGGGGACAGGCGATGAAAATCCTATGATTGGAGATAAAGTGTTTGTACACTATGTGGGCACATTGCTGGATGGCACCAAGTTTGATTCCAGTCGCGATCGGAGTGAAAAATTCTCTTTTGATCTGGGGAAAGGTAAGTTTTTGTTTTTGTTATGAGAGTGTTTTCCTCCAAGTAGAGTTTCTTTTTTTTTCAAGGGAATAGATTTAGCCATGATTCACTTTTGGTTATCGTTGTCTGAGTTCTTGTAATAGGGGAGAAAAAGAGGACCAGGAGAGGAATCGTCCACAGCAGCAAGATTATCTTTCAGCTTTGTAGCCAACCATTTTGTTGCTTTCCGACACCACACTTACTGCAACGTCATTACACTTCATTTATTTTCCCAGATAAGGAAATGTGCTTTGCAGGCAGGTTAATGGCATAACTCAATAAATAATTAATTTAACTCAACATGAGCCCATTAACAAATAAGAAACATACAGATGATGAGACCAATATGTTAGAAACTTTAAGCAATCTTCGCAATTTAGAAAAACAAAATATCGGTGTATTGAAGCAGTAAATTGTGAGGTCCAGTCATATATCAGGGTCACACTAAATGGGACAATCACCCCATTGAACAACTGCACAAGTACTGTAAAACCTCTGTGTGTGATGAAATATGCAAAACAGTGCATGTATGAATTGGTGACTAGAAAACAGTGACTAGAACTCCTACAATGGCACAGCTGAGCCAAGATCCGAGCCCAGAAAAGAGCCCCTCTGTCAGCCGGTCCTGAAGCTCGCTGACACCAACCAACTTCAGGACAGCCCAACTAAAATATCACAAATTAGAGTCAACCAAATCACAGCATAAGCCAAAACACTGCCTTATCCACTGGTAAACACAAACACAACACAATCTACAATGCTACAGGAGCCCAGAAGGAACATACACACTAGCTGAGTATCTAACCAGAGTAAGAGACTGCAAAGAGAAACAGACCCTCAGTGACCACAGGCTGGCAAAAGAAACAGGCTGCAGGTAGTCCTGGCTGCCATAGGCTGTAATCCCACTGTCAGCAAGCAGAAACAGGCGGAGATGCATGTTCTGCTGCACTGTGAGAAATACTTAAGGATTAGACAATCATTCTTCACTAAAATAACATATCAAATTCCAGAATTTCCACAATTGACAGAATCAAAATAACTTCCAATTCTATTGTGGGAGGGGGAGGATACTCAATAGAGCTGCAGCCCAGTGTGTAATCTATTGTCACAGTCTGAGGAACAGACAGTGAGCCTGTCTCATAATAATGTTTAATGTGATGTATGTAAATATCTAACAATATGTGACCCTGCATATAACTGTGGGAAAACATGCTTAAACGGTCTTTTTTTAATACCAGAATAGTTTTTTGTTTGTCCAAATAAGTGTACCGTCCTTACATTTGCAGACAACATAGGGGTAGAAAGACAACCTACATGCTTTGTAATCTTTCTACGTGTTTTTAATTGTCTCTCCCAAATGCATTCATCCTCAATTAAGATTCTGTTTCATATAAAAGTATTTTATAGCTTGTGAAAATTGAATATTGTTAATAAGTTCAATAAACAGTGTTGCTTTATCAGGTCAGGTGATTAAAGCCTGGGACATTGGTGTAGCGACCATGAAGATTGGGGAAGTATGCCAGCTCATTTGTAAGCCTGAGTACGCCTATGGATCTGCAGGCAGTCCACCTAAAATTCCACCCAATTCCACACTAGTGTTTGAGGTAAGGAGCCTAAACTTATAAAGTGTGTCCCTTCAATTTATTGTAACAATAACAATTTTACTAAACCTGACAAAGAAACACTTCCACAAAAGCTGTGCACCTTGATCCATTTCAGGCTGCAGGTTTGCTGGGTTTTGTATATAAGCCATCACTGGGCGCCATGTATTTCCAGTTTGTTTAATTTGCTCAGAGCTCAATCTGACTAAAAATAATACTTATTTTTACAAGTGCCTGCGACTAGTTAATATACTTTAAAGGATCAAACTGCTATGAATTGGAATTCTATTTTTTTTTTTACAGGTGCACTCTTTTGCTGGTTACTAACTGCATTGCCTTAAAAAAATATACTGCATGCCAAACCCATGACAGATTATCCAGTGTTTCCCACATTGTAGATAAAACAATCAATGCCCAGGACATTTTCCATAATCCAGTAGTGTGTATGGAATGTCTCAACGTGCTTTTGATCACTTACAAAAACACAATTAGCCTTCATCTGAAATGTTACAATGCTAATCGTAACAATAGTGATGGAACACATCACATAAAACGTAGAAATTGATGTCTTGGGTGACTGAGGTGAATACACTGATTCTGCTTATTTTGTTGTACAGTATATCCGCTCCAATTTCCTCCCACAGTCCAAAGACATACTGGTACAGTAGGTAAATTGGCTTCTAGAAAGACTGGCCCTGGTGTGAGTGTGTGCTTGTTTGTGTCTTTATGTGCTCTGTGATGGAGTGGCATCTCATCCAGAGTGTATCCTGCCTTGTGCCCACTGCTTGCCGGGATAAGCTCCTGCTCCCCAAAGACCCTGTGTTGGATAAAGCAATTAGAATGGATGCTTGGATGTTGACTTTCTTAACAGTACACCACTTACATTCAAGTGGAGCATGGAATTGTAAGAAGCACCTTCATCTTAGTCAGTAGTGTTAGGTACTACACACTCAGAAAGAAGACTGAAATTAAAAATGGTTGTGACAGCTAAGTAATTGCTAGGAAGCCAAGAGATCAGAATTCATCTCTGTGGGCAGACATTTCTTGAAAGAATATTAAACCAGTGCTAATGAGGGATTACTACTGAAGTCGGAGAGAGTCTTTGAAAGCTCCTCTAAACTATTTAATTTTTATCAAATGAAAGGCAGTCCTAGTAATACAAACTGTTGACAATTACAATGCACTTTGTGCAGTATGTTTTCGTATGAGATATAAGAAATAAGAGTTCTCTTAACGCACCAGTGTTCAGTTACAGTTAAATGCATTATTATTCATTTTGTTTGTGGAGGCTTGGGGGCATTTTCATTCTCAGAAGACCAAGACTCATTTTCACCAGAATGCTTTTCTGCATCAGGATGAGTAATAGTAGCATTTTGTCCCTGCTATTCCCACCAGATCTAAAAAAAACCCTTACAAGCATTATCGTGATTTAATAACATTAATGCTTCATGCATACCATTTTTTAGTTTTGCAACACTTGAATTAAGTTTTTCAACTCATTTCAATACAAGAACTCAATTACACTCAATACACATTTGACTTCTGACAGATTGCAGCCATGCTTTTAGAAAATGCATGAGATCAAAAATAAGATTTTGAGAGGCGTTCAGAATGTCGCCAACATGTGTTGGTCTTGGCCACGAAACTCGGGTACTGCAATATTGAAAGAAAAATGTATAATATTTGTTAAGAAATTTATGAATGTGTTGTGCTGTCGTGCTTGGAAATTCTTCAACTATTTTGACGTCCTACATGCTGCTTTCCTTTTCAGATTGAGCTGTTTGGGTTCCAGGGAGAGGACCTGACTGATGATGAGGATGGGGGCATTATTCGCAGGATTGCAACTAAGGGGGAAGGATATTCCAAAGCAAACGAAGGGGCTACAGTTGAAGGTTACAGATTTAATATGCTTTTAAAGTACAATGTTTTTAGATTTTTAAGGCTACTTAAAAAACGATTTCGAGATAAATATGTTTAGCAGATATTTTAGAATGCTTTATAAAGGTCTCCCATTAGCTCCTCCCCTCAACAGTGTCAGCTTCAATCGTGGGTTTCTGTTTCTTAGGTCTGAGAGTGTGGAATATGTAAAACAAATATATAAGTGTTAAATGGGGAAAGCAGGATGTATTTTTTCTCAAGAACCATAAGATCTTTATAAATTCATGCTGAAGCTTTATACTATATCTGGCATTTTGATGTTTTTTTTTTACTTTTTAGCCTTAAGTGCCTTAAAAATGTTTCCTATACGTGAAAAGTGTTTAATTATAAGTGTCTTGTGTTAGTGACTGACGAATAGGGACACAAACAGAGCTGCCTTAGTATACATTCAAAAATAGTGAAGGGTTAGTTAGAGGTGTTGCTGAATCTCTTATTAATTTTTGGTCCTACACTGCACAGCTAGCTTTGGCTGATGCAGTGTGTGTTCTTGACTAGCATTGTCTTGATTAACAGAGTTTATCAAGCTTGCTCTTGGAGGGAACATGACTGTGTAGATCAGGGACTGGAATGTTGAAATATTAGGTATTGAATTATTCTTTCACTGTTGTGGAATACTCAATATTGTTACACTTCAGCAGCCATTGATCTTCTAATAGTACAATAAAACAATGTATGCATAAGATAAAAAAAAGTGAGAAATAGTGCAAAAAAAACTGCACAATAGAATTGAATCAACAAGATTAAAATGCAGTCTTACTTAATAGCTAGACTACATTATATTGTGGTGTGGTGGATAGCACTGCTACCTCTCAGTCCAAGTCCTGGCCTCGGTTCTGGACTGGGGTGCTTTCTGTGCAGAGTTTGCATGTGGGTTATTCTGGTGTGGCTTATAAATTATCCCTGCCTGCATATGTATGTGTCTGCAACCAGCATCCAACACCCATCCAGGCTGTGGCCCTGCCTTGCATCCTGTGCTTTTGGGATAGGCTTTGGGTCACCATCACTGCAGCCTTCATGACTTTTATTAATAACTGTAATAGAAGATAAAACATTTCAAGTAGAAGCAGGACAATTCCATGGAGTGAAAGACACAGTCACCCTTAAGTTTTTTCTACTTGTACTATCCACAAAGGTGATATAGCATGAAACTCATTTTTTGTGATTAAGACAGTGTTTTCTGTGGAGACTGCATTGTGTTGTGCTCTTACTAATTTTCTCATATTTGGCAAAAAGCTGTATGTATCTGTAAGCATGCCCTCTTGGTCTTTCCTATATATCATAACAAACCTATATATATATATTATAGCAGACCTAGGAGATTTCATGTGATAATTTCCTTGTTAATTATCATTGTGGTGGTAAAAATGGGTTTTACTCATTCTTTACTTAATATTATGCAAGTAAACTTTCTTAAATTAGTATTTAATTGTTTACAAACATTTTTGAATCAAAGATTAAAAAACTTCAGACACTTCTCTAATTTTAGTGTCCTTTGTCTTTGCAGTGAGTTTGGAAGGCACTTTTGAAGGCCGTGTGTTTGACCAGAGAGAGCTAAAGTTTGAGATTGGTGATGGTGAAAGTCTGGGCATCCCTCCTGGGGTAGAGAAAGCTCTACAGTCAATGGAGAAAGGAGAAGAATCCCTTATCACTCTCTCCCCAAAGTAAGAACCTTCACATAAGTGATACTAATTTCATGTCCATAATTTCCAAATACTTTGATATGACAGGGATTTAGAAATCTAAAAAGGCATTAAGACTATTTTCAAACACCTACAGTAGCAACAGCATGTTAGCAATTAAGGATAAAGTTTTATATAAGTGAGAAAGTACTTGAATGGTTATGAAAAGTAAATAAATTTCACCTTCAGAGTGTTCTGTTTTTTGCATCGCTTTAGCACTATTTGTCATCTCGCATCCAGGGTGAAAAGTTTGAATGATAACAGCAGGTTCTGTTTACACATTACAGCTCTTCACATCTTACCTTCGTACCTCGTTTATTATAATAATAAGAATAAGAATAATTGGTAACACTTATACAGCGCTTTTCTGGAAACTCCACTCAAAGCGCTTTACAGGTAATGGGGATCCCCTCCACCACCACCAATGTGCAGCATCCACCTGGATGATGCAACAGCAGCCATAGTGCGCCAGAACGCTCACCACACATCGGCTATCAGTGGGGAGGAGAGCAGAGTGATGAAGCCAGTTCATAGGTGTGGATTATTAGGAAGCCATGATTGGTAAGGGCCAATGGGAAATTTGGCCAGGACACCAGGGTTACACCTCTACTCTTTTCAAGAAACGCCCTGGGATTTTTAACAACCACAGAGAGTCAGGACCTCGGCTTTACGTCTCATCCGAAGGACGGCAGCTGTTAACACCGTCACTGTCACTGTACTGGGGCATTAGGACCCACATAGACCGCAGGAGCCTATTACTACTATTATTACTAGTTTTCTTTCTTGTTTCTAGATATGGGTTTGGGACAGCAGGAAATTCTCAGTTCAACATTCCTCCTGATGCAATGCTTAATTACAAAATAAAGTTGATCAGCTTTGAGAAGGTAGGTGGAAATGGGTTTCTCAAGTTTGCTGATAGAAGTTGTTCTTGTTTCGTTTGGCAGTCAGAACTTTGTGAAAATTGAAGTTTGTTTAAAAGTAAACTGAAAAAGCTCCTTTGGTGATTTTCTGTTATGTTTGTGAAAAAAATATTTCATAGATAGTGTCCAACACAGGTATGTTTTTATTTAATATGCATTTAGTTAGATATGTGGAGCAAACAATCACCAATATTAATTTGTTGCCTACTAAGTGATTTAATATAGAAATATAGAAAATCAAAAGAGATCTTAAACTAATCACGAAATGTTTATTCTGCTTTTGTGAAATATTTAATACTCCTCGAGGCTTATGACCTACTGCAGAAGAAAACTAAAATATCTGTTACAGCTTGCTTTGTTCTAAAAGGGATTTTCTTTCCAGGCCAAAGAATCATGGGAAATGAATACAGATGAAAAGCTAGAGCAGAGTGTCATTGTAAAGGAAAAGGGAACCCAGTATTTCAAAGTAAGTATGGAATCTTGTATGTTTATATTTTTTGTTTTATTTTTTACTAAAACAAAACTGGAAATATAGGCATTATTTATGCTCCTTGACAATGACAAAAGCTTTTCATGTTTGGATGGTCTTGGTAAAGGTGGCCCTGAATATGAGAAACTACATCCTTGAAGGAACGTCATGCTTTTGTCTCCCAAAATAGTTTCTGTCAGAGGCCCCTCAGTGAGAGTTGTGATGGTCTTTTGCAGGAAGGGAAGTATAAGCAGGCATCAGTACAGTACAAGAAGATTGTGTCATGGCTGGAGCATGAGTCTGGGCTGTCTGAAGAGTATGAGAACAAGGCCAAGGCCCTGCGCCTTGCTGCTCATCTCAACTTGGCCATGTGTTACCTCAAGGTTCAGGAGCACAGCCAAGCTGTGGAGAACTGCAACAAGGTATCCAGGGTCTTCCCCCTCTCCGACTGTTTCACTAGACTTCAGACCTGCTGAGTTAACATGGCTATTTGATTTATATATATGTATCTGGAGAGTGACAACTTCAATGACGCCAACACCTCACAGAAGGTTGATTCATTACAGAAATACATAGGCTGAAGAAAGAAGACTCAAAATAGAATGTAAAGTGTTTGTTCCATAGAGTCAGAATCCCAGATACCTCCAAATTTGTGTGGTTTATTTTTTTAAAACATCTCGCATTAAATGTTTAAAAGCATGACATAGGGTGAACACTTTCAAAACTTAACATAAAGAATAAAAATTCTATAGCTCATAACTAACATAGAAACACTCCAAGTAAAGAGGAAATACTGCATTGCCTGAATAATTACTAGACACTACCACCACGGGGGGTTGTAGGTGTTGACATTTGTGTCTCCTGGTCTTGCAGGCCCTGGAGCTGGACAGCAGTAACGAGAAGGCTCTGTTTCGTCGTGGCGAAGCTCTCTTTGCCATGAAGGAATTTGAGCAGGCCCGGGATGACTTCCAAAAAGTTGTTCAGCTCTATCCTAGCAACAAGGCCGCCAAGACGCAGGTGGTTGTCTGCCAGAGGCAAATCAAGGAGCAGCATGAGAAGGACAAGCGCCTCTATGCCAATATGTTCCAGAAATTTGCAGAGAGGGATGCCAAGGTTAGTTGCCAAGCTAAATGAAGCACCCAGACAGTTTCTTTGAGACGGTGAAGAAGCCAATATTTGTCTGGAGTACTACTAAATGTGGCAGATATACAGCATTTGTATGACTGAACATGACTATTATGTAAGTTTTCTGGGAACAGCATGAGGTTGTAATTCAAAAGCATATGCATTACAAGGGTGCTTCTCTGTGATATAAGCCTGTTTAGAAATTTGCTTTGCAATTAGAATAATGATGTACACAATACATTATACATTTAACACAACATGAATCCATTAACAGATAAAAATCATTTGTACATGAATAAGTTTAAATAACTAATCAGAAGCTTTAACTCCTCCTCACAGTCCAAAATATAAATTTGGATAGCAGTGAAATACCTAAGATACTTTCACAAATTTAGTAGGTTAAGAGTCTTGGGAAAAGATACCTTAATTCTATTATATTTTAATCTACATCTACATACATAAATAAATGCCCTGATGTAAGGAGCTCAAATGTACTATGCAATGGGTGACTGTCAATATTAGCCTTCAGCACAATTTGTTTGCTGTAGCTGTGGTGCACCAATAGCTTTCCTGGCTGCCTTCAATATCTTGCTCATTTTTATTACATGTATTCAAGTTACTTGACCATGTTACCACAGTGAATATTAAAACAGATTCAATAAAAGGTCTATAGAATAAGGAAATCATTGTACTGCACACATTAAAGGAGCAGAGCTTTCTCAGGAAGAACTTGGGCTTTTCTTACAGACAACATCCATATTTTCCTCACAGGTTAGCTTGTAATCAACAGTAGTTAAATTATATTTGTAACTTGACAAATTCAATTTATTGCTCCTCAATGACTTTTAGTTTCGCAAAAATGACTGGAACTGAAGTAGTTTTCTTTTGTACCAAGTTGGGATTGGTTAAAAAAGGATTAAACTGCTGTTTCACTTAAGCCCCACAAGGGGGTAGCAAAGTTTAAGTCAACATTGAAAACCTTAATCGGTATATAGTATTACATTAGACCTGTTGGCTTTGAGTCCCCATCACCAAACATATTTCTCAATTATCAGTCACTCATTAAATTTGGAAAACCGTTGTCTCTAAAGAGTATAGTTTGAATTATAATGGTTGTAGATTTTTTCTATTTTCACATTTTATCTTTGTCCTTTGGAAAATTTCAGGGATCTCTACTAATAGTGTTTATTCTCATCTGCAGAAGGAAGCAGAAAAACAGAAGGACACGAAGAAGCAGGAGAACACAGAGGGCCAGAATGGAGATGAAATGGACATCGATCAAAATGAAACACAAGAGCAAACGGCAGCATAAATCAACAGCCTTTTTGTGTTGTTTTTTTGTAGCTTGTGATTGTAGAAAGTTTTGTTTGTGCACAGAGGAGGGGAAATTTGTCAATTAGATATTACCCTAAAGAGAAAAGAAAGTGATGCCCCCTCTTGCCCAGTTGTTATGTTTAATTTTTTTTTATTATAATTGATTTCCATATGCTTTTGCTGGGTGATGCCTCTTTGCTTCTATAAATGCTACTCACTTTCAGCCCAACTGGATTGTTCCTCTGTTGTTTGAACATGCATCCTCTCCTTGGGAATGTCTAGTGACCTGAGAGCTGTGTCTTCGAGGGGCTCTGGGAATACTAGTGCTAGTAGGTGGAGCTGCTTTGATCTGTGCTTAAGGAGGAATTTTAGCTAAAAACCACGAATGTCTTGTCAGGCTTATTTAAGCAGTCTCTTTTTGGAGGTATGACATTTTCCATCCCATAAACGTGAGATGTTTCTGTGATTGCTATGGGTCTACAGATTTGTGCTGCACATGGATCAACTATTGAAAAAATCAACTTGCTAGGTTCCTCTCTGGGCTTGTGAAATCTGGTATTGCTAAATCTCCCATAGAATTCAATTGGTGAATTAACTTTCCCCAGTATTTGGGGCTGTTGCATACTAGCTGTCTCACTGCACTCTGGAGTTTACTGCACACTGGTGATGGGTGGAGTCCCCACCTATGTATAAAGTGCTTAAAGATGTTTTGAAACAAATGCTAGGTTTCATGGTTGGATCAGTTGTTAGTAAAAATAGTAAAATAATAGTAAAAATAAATGTATTGGATAAACACAAATTAAAATTAGAGGGGAGCACTTTGATATTTCACTGCTCTTTAAAGTTCACTTTCTGAAATGTTTTGCATTCCTGTTGCCCCAGTCATCTTTTATGGGGACAGTAAGGGGGAGTCACAGTACTATATTTTAAATGTAATTATTTTCCACGTTAAGCATTGGCACCCTTTAAGTCAAATCATATCTTTCCCAGTTTTCCCGTGTCGTTGTTTAGACCACAGTTGTGGTGGTGATACCATTTACGTTTAAGTACAGTATATGTTCTTCATAGTAATGGGTTGCCAGGAGTTCTAGGAAATTAAAGTACTTTGAGACACAGGCTGAAAATTTGTTTGCAGTCCTATAGACTTTCTTGTGGTGGGGAAAGAATAGTTAAATTGGAGGATCACAGTGGCTAATTTCAGACTTCACCATCAGGTGTTTGTTTTGCTTGAGCATAAAGTGTACTTGTGTAAGCTGTTATTACTGGCAACTATAAAGTTGCTTTATAGTAAAGTAGTTGTCAGTCTAGGAGGAAAGCTACAGTAGGTTACTAAGCAGAACTGGCATAATTTTCCCCACTGGCATGGATTACTTTTCTACTTCTGATTTTGTTTAATTGCTTTTAACTCCATTGATTTTTGATGAGCAGCACTATCCTGCACTATATTGTGCAGAAGGTGGCTTTTGTCTGCTTTTCCTTTTGTAAAGTATATAATTATCATTTTCTTTGTGTTTTCTTTCCCACCAAGAAAGGTTTCAATACTGTTTTTTTTGTAAAGTTTAGACAAGATTTCTTTGCAGCCTTCCTTCACAAAAGCAAGTTTGTTTCAGCTACCCCCTGTTGTCTCTACAGCTTTAACATCTGACAAGTGTGAGGGTGTTAATGTGTTCATACAGTACCTCTGGCCATCAGATATCTAGCAATTATAAAGGGCCTGTAAAGACCAATGACTGTGTAGAGAGTTTTGTTGTTGCTTGAGGATAGGTGGGGGCAGCCCAGGGTTGTCACAATAACATGATGAAAGACGAGGCCATGATGAAAGACGTGGTAGAATATTATAGTGGAGTGCAATACCCGCATGAAGTTAAGACATTGTAACATGCACCTGTTCCTTTCTAATCTTAATATTAAATTAGTGTCTCCCAGCAATATCTTTAAAGATCTTGTTTCATGAGTTTATTATACACTAGGTTTGTTGGTTAATTACTAATTGTAAATGAAAACGGGTAATTTTCAGTGTGCAGATTTGTGTACAGTATTATGAAGATATCAGAGGAAATTCTTCTCTAGAACTGTATTTTCCATAAGTAAACACATAATGGACACTATTTTAACACTTCATGTGGCTTAGATTTTCAGATAGTGCTGTTCATAATGACATCATTTCAGAAAAGGGTTTACCTTGCTAGGTTCTTCATGTAAAGTTACCTTTAATTTAATACACAATGTTGCGGTTACTTTCCTTGCTGTTAGGATTTGCATGTCTCGTTGCAAAAAATCACATTTTTAAAGATTTTCTCTGGCAGCTTTCTAGCCTGTATCCTCTCAGAGCAGACGGGTGATGGTGAAGGGTAACAATTCCAAAATTCATTTTTGAAAATGTATTTATAAATAGGTTCTTTGAGGTGTATATCTGTATTTGAACTGATTTTTATTTTGTTTTTAATAAAATTACGTAAAAATGTTATTTCCTGCTGGTCTGTTTATCTCACAGTACAGCATTTCAAGACATTGTGTTGTCAGCCATATATCTTAAATAAAAAATAAAATGGTCTTACTGAAGAAACAAATTTGTCATATCAAACTGATGTCATCACTCTATTACTGGATGGAAGGGCCTATTATAATAACCCAGACCGGTGGGTTTTAGCAACATAACAAATTCCCAGGGAAATAAATGGAAAACCATTTAGAACAGGAGGGGCTTAATTAAATAGTAGGAGGCCAGTGTCTGGAACAAGCTGTTCATCCTTGCTCAAGCTGATTGCTTAAGTGCCTTCAGAAATTAGCAGGATAAACTTCAGTTGCATGTCCTCTACATTTGCAAATGTTTATGTTCTTGTGGATTCTGTTTAGGGAAAGGATATTGTATTACTTTTTTTCCTCACCTTACCTTAAAAATGGTAGGCTAAACATTTTTAATTGGGAAAATAAAAAAAATGTGCTACTTTTGTACAGTGTATGCGAGCGGAAGGACATTGGTATACCACATGAATTGCCTTAGTTATCTGTGAGGGCTGCTTAAGAGTTTTAATGAGTTTCTGTCACCTGTAATCGTAATACTACACTAGCTATAAATGTACAGCACCCATGTCAGCTTGACAAGAAATCTCAGCCACTCAGCTCCACACCAAACTAAGGATTCCTTGCCCATCTTCTACTGCCCTGACTATCGCATTATTAAAAATAGTTTCAGACATTGAGTGATTAGAGACACAAAGACATTTCAGTTACACAATACATTTCAATAACCGTTGCAGCCAGGTCTGCTTCGTGAGCATTGCAATCTAGTCTATGGTAAGGAATTCTTACCTTAAATATTCTATCAAGACAAAAATAAAGTCAGAATAGATTAGCTCTTTAAAAATGTTGTCTACATGAAGCCACAGAAATGAATGCTTCATTTAAGGCTTCCAATCTATACAAACAATAGTCAACTCTATCACATGTCTCAATTTCATATAAAATTTGTAAAATAAACCCATCCATTCAGTTACTTAACAAGGACAACTGAAGAGTACTTTGTAATATATGTGACTCAGGGTCATATCTTTAGTATATCATTTCCTGCTTAAGTTTTCAATTAACTAAAAATTGTCTCTTCTGGACATATATAACATTTTTTCAAGGTTTTGTAATTGATATATTAGATACTCGATTCATGATATAATAGCAACAGTAAATAACCCTGAAAGAACATTTTCTTCTCAAATATCTAAGGATTAGGGATCAATTGAGAGCAAACAGTTTGTGGCTCACCAGAAATACTGCAAAGTTTGACACCTGTGACCTGAACACCTGTATTTACTTGGCACTTAAATATTGTTTTACGAATCACTGTTAAAAGGCCCTTTCAATTGTCACATCCTAAATTATTATCTTGATCCAAATTTATAGTATGTAACTTGCCTTCAAGTATGCTCATTTTCTGCAAACATGCCGCTATTCATTCTGGTTTTCCCAAATGCTCTTCTTTCTATCCACTCCCCGTGGAGAGAAAGCATAGCACTTTCTACTGTTTCCTGCCAGGCAACAGGAACTTATAATTACATGAGAAACTATATCTGGCAGGGTCACGGCCCCTCCGTTTTGGGACTCTGGATCTCTGATAGAAACTGCCAAATCTAAATGGTAACATTGAAGGGAAGGTGACTTCTGAGTCAGGAATGACAAAATCAATTTACAGCTGGCTTCAATGGGTCTCATTCTATGCCAACTTTCAGATATGAATCTAATAATTGCATTATTAGCACTTCTCTGCAGGCCTCCAAATATTGAATAAGTAATTGTTGTTCTAATCAAAAGCACATTTTATGGTATCAACTTAATATGACCTTCACAAAATGTTAAATACCTTTAAGAGAGAAAATGATAAGATCAATGAAGTTACCAAGGTATTTAGGTGTGTGAAGAGCATGAGAAATGCAATCTTAAGGCAGTGAAGTTTGAAAAATATATCTTCCGGCTTTTTGATTATCCATTATGTTTACAGTATATATTGTATAGACCATTTTACCAATATATAACCATTATGGATAATATCAAAAGTTGCTATGTAGTATTATGCCCACTTTTTTTTGTCTATGATGGCAGCACTACATGGAAGACTGGCACAGCTGCACAAAGCAGTTAAATATCCATGTTCCATAGCAGCAAATTCCTCATGGTTCCGCATGTATCATTACCCACTTTAATAGGTTCTCTGTGCCATTTCTATAATGGAGCTGATTAGAACAGCTAACCTTGTCAGGTTTTGTGTTTCCAAATCAAAAGTTTTCAATCCTAGTATGGCAATATTTGAGTCAATACTTCGGATTATTATTGCTCCTAATTATATATAAACA